AATTCGGGTTTTACCATCTGATCCAGGGTTGCGCCGTCGGTTCCGAGGATAAGATGGTGGTGGCCTTTTCGAGCAGCAATGCTTCCTCTGTCCAAGTGCCGTCTAGCCATGTGGTCTATGCCGGAAACCGAGAGGAGTGCGACAATCCGCCGCTCCTTAGCATCGCAGCGGATATTGTTGCCAGAACTTTGATGTTTGACCTGGTAAAAGGCACAAATGTCGTCGTCTTGGAGCCTCCGAGCTTCTACGTCGAGAGTCTGCGCGACCAAGCTGCGGCAGCTGGAGTCTCACTGACATTTGCTTCCACCAAGGCTCCTCCCAGAAGACACGGTGCTCTGTGGATTCATTTACACGAAAAGGAGACGGAGCGAAGCCTGCGTCAGAAATTGCCAGCGAATGTTTCCGTGCTGTACGATTTCCTTGCCGATCAGAACCCGGCCAGTTTGAGCTCTCGAGTGGTCAAGTGTGTTCCACCTGCCTGCACGATCCGTGGACCAGACTACTTGTTCCAAACTATGGCGACACCCGTGTCATTCTCGAGCGCTCAAGGGGCAGCTCAGATTCTCGTCGATGCTGTCAAGACGGTGCACAAGGACAGAGATATCAGCGACGTGCCTATTCTCGCTGCACGTGAGGTATTAGCTTCAAACATCCCTTCATCCAGCAACACGATTATAGATTGGTCGACAGACGAACATATCACGAGCCGTATCCGTCCCATTGAGTCAAACAACTTGTTTGTGGGCGATAAGACGTACTTGCTAATCGGCCTTGCGGGTGACATGGGCCGATCGCTTGCTCGTTTCATGGTGGAACATGGCGCACGCCATCTCGTCCTGTCGAGTCGAGTCCCTAAAATCGACCAACGTTGGATCGACGACATTGCTCGCTCTGGAGGAAGAGTCATGGTGCTGGCCATGTATGTTGCTATTGTGTTATACTCTTGTATACGATGCTAACTATGTTGAAACCAGGGATGTCTCCAACGAAGGCGCTGTCGACAAAGGCCTGGCGGAGGTGCGTAGGTCGATGCCTCCGATCGCTGGTGTGGCGTTTGGGCCTCTCTTACTGCAGGATGTCATGTTCAAAAACATGGAGCTGCCGATGATGGAGATGGTCCTGGCACCCAAGGTAACCGGTGTTCGGTTGTTGAACGAGCGTTTGTCTGATCCTGCAAACCCGCTGGACTTCTTCGTCATGTTCTCGTCAATCGTGATGGTGGTAGGAAACCCCGGACAAGCCGCCTACAGCGCTGCGAATGCGTACCTCCATGCCACAGCCCAGAAAAGACGCGCTCAAGGCATGGCCGCATCAACCATCGATATCGGTGCTGTCATTGGGGTAGGCTTCATTTCCCGCGCCGGTCGTGAGAATGAATCCCAAACCCGAAAGTTCCTTGCCGACGAGGTTAAGGAGTGGGAGCTCCATGCACTCTTTGCGGAAGCAGTTGTGGCCGGGCGAAAGCAGGAGCTCGACGACGTAGAACTCGTCACCGGCATGGTCCACATGGATGAGAAAGACCAGGAGCGAATTCCCTGGTACAACGACCCACGCTTTGCCGCATTCAAAATGTCTGACCGTCGTACCACTGGCAACGAAGCCACTGGCGCTGTCGCATCCCTGAAGGAGCAACTATCAAAGGCCGAAACCATCGAGCAGGTCCGCGATATCATCCTCGAAGGCGTGTCTAGCAGAATACGTGGAGCCCTGCTGATCGCCACGGCTGATGAGCTGAACCTGACAGCTCCTCTGATCGACCAGGGAGTGGATTCTTTGTCCGCCGTGACCGTCGCCTCGTGGTTCGCCAAAAATCTCAGCCTTGACGTTCCTTTGCTGAAGATTCTGGGCGGCGCTTCAGCTACCGACTTGGTCGACGACGCTGTCTCTCGCTTGAATCCCGACTTGATTCCGCTGGTTGATTCTGGATCTCTAGAGGATGCAACGCCAACTACTGAAGGCGGGCCGGCCGCAACGCCATCATCGACCACCGGTACCTCCAATGAAAGTTCCACTTTCTCGGTAGAACACAATGGCGACATACCAACACCGCCTTCTCAGCCTTCTGAAGCGGACGAAGATGGATTTCAGCGCGTTGCACCGCTGTCCATCATGCAAGAATACACGTGGAAGCAGATGCAGCTCCCTCTGGAGCCAGCCACGTTCAACAGCACCATCGGTATGTACATGCAAGGTCCTCTCGACCTGGGTCGTCTCGCATGGGCTTTTGATCAGGCACTACAGCGCAGCGACGCCTTCCGGACGTGTTTCATCTCGGACTCAGACTCTGACATTAACGATCCTATGCAAGCGGTCATGAGATTACCACGGAACTCTTTTCAAGCAGTCAAAGTGGCCGATAGGAAGGCTGCCGAGGAAGCTTTTGGGGAGCTCCAAGTTGCCAGGTACGAATTGGAGAAAGGAGACACGCTGAAGGTCATTGACTACTTCTGGACATCCACGGACCACCTTCTGATCATAGCCTACCACCGATTGGTTGGTGACGGCTGGACCACCGAACACCTTTTTATCGACGTCAGCCAACTCTACAGTGGTCTCCCGCTCGAGCCAGCTCCCAGCTACGTCGAGTATGCGATTCGGCAGCGCGCGCAGCTCGCGTCAGGAGCTTTTGATGCTGACTTGGCTTACTGGTCCGGCCTCTTTCAATCTTTGCCACCCCGGCTGCCTATCCTCCCGCTCACCATCAACGATCCTTCCGACTCAGACACCCTCGACTGGACCACGAACGAGGTTTCTACAAGGCTCACTCGGATGGTAGCAGTCCGCATCAAGGACCGCAGCCGCAAACAGCAGACCACTCCTATGCACTTCTACCTCGCCTCGTTTCACATCCTGCTTGCGCGCCTGGCTGGCTCCGACGATATCACCATCGGTGTGGCCGACTCCGGCCGAGCTTCCCTTATTGACCAAGCCACAATGGGCTTCTTCGCATCGTACCTTCCCTTGCGCTTGACCTATGACTCCAGCCACGTGTTCAACGAAGCCCTGAGCTCCACCAAAGAGCAAATGCGTGCCGCTCTCCTTCACAGCGCCGTCCCCTTGCCCGCCATCCTCGACCGTCTCGGCCTATCCACCAAGCCCAGTGCCGAGCACCCTTTCTCTCACGCACCGCTCTTCCAGGCCATCTTCGACTACAAGCAAGGCCAGACGGAGAGCGGAAGTATTGGCGAGGCGAAGATTGTCGAAACCGACATCCCACGGGCGGGGACTCCGTACGACATCACACTGCAGATGGGGGACGATCCGAGCAAGGGAGAGCCGTTGATCACATTCAAGTTGCGGAAGGAGACATATGGGGTCGGTGCAGCAGAGGCGCTGATGCAAGGGTATTTGTCAATCCTGAACACCTTTGCGAGGAATCCCGTTCTCAGAGTCACAGATGCAGTGCTGGATCAGGGGACCAAAGCCCGGGGCTGAAAACAGGTTGTCCGGCACCTGCTGATGCTGCAATAATAGATCTCAAATATATAATCTCATAGCCACCAGAAGCTCATAGTTTTCCCGTACCCTCATCCACTTTCGCCTCACATTCTAAAGACACGCCTTATTTGCCCGACTTAATGAAGAATAAATAAGAGTGTCTATGCTATGCCTTGGCTCTCTACGCCACCGAGTCTGCAGATGTGCTTGACGACTTCGGCGACGTCGCCTTTCTGCGTCGGCATGTGGTGGCTGGTGTCGACTTGGACGACCGTGGCGCACTGCGGACGGTAGTGGTTCCGGACCAGCTGACGAGCGCGGCCGAGACAGAAGTCCCGGTTCCCGTGGATATGTAGTGTCGGGACGTCGATGAGGGCTGTGTTCATGCCCTGGGCCTGTGCGCGTGCGTTCAGCCACAGCGACGCTTCACGAGGGAAGAAGCAGCAGCTGACGACGGCGAACTGTAGTGGTGGGAGGTTGGAGGGGAGGAGTTGGTCGGCTTCGCCGTGCTCTTCATCATCGACCTCTTTTTCATTCTCGTCTTCTTCTCCGTGCTCCCGTCGCTGTCGCTGTCGTTCCCGCTGTTCCTGCTGCAACCAGAGCATCATCGCCAGCGCGAGGCCGCCCTCGGAGAAGCCGATGGCCCCGACAATCTCCGCATTTCCATCCACACGGCTCTCTCTCCAGTCCTCCAGACCTCGCTGCACCGCGCCGCTGATCTCCCGGATACTGTCGTCGATGCTGACGTCGTGCCCGCCGAACCAGCCACGGTACGGCTCCTGGCCGCTGAACATGGGCAGCACGCCCGGTCCGGGCGGACAGTCGCGCGGGCCTTCGAGGAAGATGAACTCGAAGGCGTCGCGCAGCTGGTAGCAGATCCGGGCCATCTGGACGTTGAAGATGGAGCCCTTGGCGCCGGTGCCGTGGAAGCACAGAAGGGCTTTTTTCGGGGTGGGTTTGACGGTCATTGTCCTTTTTTCCTTTTTTTTTTTCTTTTTCGGGAGGGTACTTGTGTCCGCGTGTATCCTTATCGTCCCATGTCGTTGAAAAAGTACTTCTTTTCCTGTGCCCCTGCTAAGGGAGGACGACTCTTGTTTCTTTCCTTTCAGAGGGATACTCGGAGATAACTCACGTCTCCTTCTCCCCAAAGTGGTTGTCTGGTGATTTGTCCGAATAAAGCCTAAAATCACCGAAATGGCCCCCCGTATCGGGTTAGTGTGGAGTGGACCCACTACTTCATACATGTAAGGGGGATCCACACCATATCTTCCATTGCAGGAGGTGTACGAGGAACAGACCGAGTACGAGGTACTTGCTACCGATTGCTCAATGCAGAAACACAATGGGACGGAATGTAGAGCTGGCGTCAAGCGACACAATCCTTATGACGGAGCACAGGGTACCTTTCTGTACCTTGGTATAAGTATTGTCTGCGACTTGGGCGGTTTCTCACTAAACAACCCCAGTCAACAATTACAATAGGCAAATCACAAACTCGTTCACTCTCCAACACCTGCGAATATATCCCGTCTAGGAGCTGAGACAACCCGCAGCTCGTCAGTATGGGATCCGTCGGCATTGAAACGGCCAGAGGCTTCGTCCCGCCGACGACCCACCGCGCCATCATCGCCGAGGCAGGCGACCGGATCGTCATCCGCGAAGACACGCCTCTCGCTCCGCTCCAGAGCCACGAATTCCTCGTCCGCACCGAAGCCCTGTCGCTCAACCCCAGCGACACCAAGATGCGGGGCGACTTCGTCACGCCCGGGGCGATGCTCGGGGCCGACTACGCGGGGACGGTGGTCGCGCGGGGCGCGGGCGTCACGGCCGTCGAGATCGGCGACCGCGTCTGCGGCGCGCAGTACGAGATGAACGCCAAGAGACCCTTGCGCGCCGCCTTCGGCCAGTTCAACATCCCGACGGGCCCGTTCTGGCTCAAGCTGCCCCCGTCGGTCAGCACCGAGGGCGGCGCCACCGTGAGCGCGGCCATCGGCACCGCGGGCCTCGCGCTCGACAGGCTCGGTCTGCCCCTCCCGGACGCGCCCGTCACAAAGCCCGCGCACGTCCTTGTCTATGGCGGCGGGACGGCCACGGCCACCATCGCCATCCAGCTACTCAAACTGTGAGTCTGTGTGAGGAAAACCCCCCGATTCACGATACACACTTTCTTCTTCCCCCTTTGTTGGACAGTTGAGGGGGGGGGGGGACGAAAGTGTTGGCGAGGGACCGTTTGGAGGTGATTGATCGATTGTTATGTGGCATGACTGATTGATCGACGGGCACAGTGTCAATATGATCCCCATCACGGCGTGCTCGCCGGTCCACAACGAGCGGCTCAAGTCCTACGGCGTCGAGGCGACTTTTGACTACCATGAATCCGACTGTGCGAGTCAGATAGTAAGTTTTGACCAATCCCGTGTAATATATATACCCTCTGTGTACATTGTCCAGAGTTCCCTTGGCTCTGTCATTTATTACACCTGCCCTCTACCACAATAACGTGGATCCAGTTCTTAACTTTTTTTTTTTTTTTTTTTCTCTCTTCTCCGTTCAAAAAACAACAACATGACCCGTCTATCCGTCCCCGTCTGACCAAATCTAGAAATCCTACACGCGAAACAACCTCCGCTACGTGCTCGACTGCATCAGCACCGTCGAATCCACGACGCTCTGCTTCGCGGCGCTCGGCCGCGCGGGGGGCAAATACGTCTCGCTCGACCCCTTCGACACGGCCGTCGCGGCGACTCGCGCCGTCGTCAAGACCGACTGGGTCCTGGGCCCGAGCCTCTACGGCGAAGGGTGCGTGTGGCCGCCGCCGTACGCGCGGGCGCCGAGCGCCGAGGATCTCGCCTTGGGGGAGAGACTGTGGGCGATCGCGCAGAGGCTGTTGGATGAGGGCCGCTTGAGGCATCATCCGGTCAGGACACTCGAGGGGGGTTTGGAGGAGGTGTTGGTGGGGATGGACATGGTTAGGAAGGGCGAACTGAGGGGCGAGAAGTGTGTGGTTAGGTTGACTTCGTGATCGTCTGGCTCAGCCAGGCTTGGTGGTGTGTGTCCCGTGTGTCTACCTCGCAGATGACTATGTTACTGGTTTGTCTTTGCCCGTTGACGGACTTTATTGCTTGAGAATCAAAAGCAGACAGAGTGAGACGTTACTACCTACTAGCTATCTGCATAGTTACATATTACTCATAAACTGCCGTCGCCGTCCCTCAGACACGTCTCTAACTTGCTACTTTGCTCTTTGAAGTTGCTCGAGACTCGCCCCAGGTCTGAACCGAAGCGTTGCCTCCACGCCCTCCTGTTTGATCCCCAGAGCCTCCCTCAACTTCCACTCCTTCTCCGGGTCAACCAGTCTTATCTGCTCAGATGGTCAGTCCTGCTCCCAACGTAAAAATGCCCTCTGCGGGTGTACGTGTGAGAGAATATGACAGAAAGCCTCACTCACATCAAACGTCGAATACAGCGTCGCCACGAGCTTGTAGATCTCGCACCGCGCAATGTTCTTGCCCATACAAGCACGATCACCCGCACCCCAGGTCAAATCGGCTCTGTTCATCCAGCGTAGCCGCTCGGCGTACTCTTCGGGGCTCTCCGTAGGCTCCTTGAGCCACCGCTCGGGCCGGAACAATCGCGCATCCGCGCCGTAGACGTCTTGGTTGAAATGTGTTGCGCCACCCAGTATTGCGACAGATGTGCCGGCTGGGACACGGCGGCCGTCGTCGAGGACAAACTCGCGACCGGGAGGGATGGCGCGGCGGGATAGTGCTGCACCCAGCGGGAAGCAGCGCAAGGTTTCGTGGATGACGGCGTCGAGATAGGTCATTTTCTGCACCTCAACCCACTGCGGCGGCATCTGGAGGCCTGAGGATTGCAGTTCGGCATGCAGTTTATCGGCGATCGAGGGCTGTTTCCCTAGAAAGTAGACCACGGCCGTCACGATCGCAGCAACCGACTCGCCACCCGCGAACAGGGGCGTCGTGGCATAGCCGTGCAGCACCAGCTCGTCAACCGTCTGGGGGAACTTCTCCTTTGTCTCCAGGAGCTGGTCGAGGAGGTCTTCGCGGTCGTTGGTCTTGGTGGTCGTCTTTCCCTGCGCCCTCCTGTTCTGGATGAGCTCGCGTGCCCGGCGGGGGAAGGAGCCCATGCGTTTGATCATGACCTGGGCCAGAGGGGTTCTTTTGAGGAGTGCAAAGACCCAAGGCATGCAGACGCCCTGTCGCGATCGCATTGCCTTGTTAGTGGACTTTCACCACCCAAGGGGTTGACTCTTTGTCAGAAACGCCCAACATACCATGGACCGGAACTTTTGGGCATCATGCAACCCCTTGAACATGCCCTCTCGATCAGCTTCGCCCCGCATGAGTCCAAAGTCGACCGATGCCGTGACCTTCATGATCGTGTCGTATGCAACTGTGGACAGACACACCGTGAGTCGAGAGTTAACACGCCAAAGGAAAAAGGGGTTGCTACTCACAATAATGCGCCCACTGGTAAACGGGCAGCGGCTTCTCCGTTACAATAAACTCCTTGTTGAGCTGATGCACAAACTGAAGGATGCACTCGTCAATGAAGCGCTCCGACTTTGTGACATTGGACATGGAGTAGATGCCTGCAATGGGCCGTTTGATGGCTGCGTGATCCTTGGTGCTCTCCATGGCCAGGATGTTCGGGTAGACGACGCCATTGAGCTCGTGTCGCAACGGTTTAAAGTGATAGCTCTAGGGAGGTATTGCGCCGACTTAGCAAAGGTCTTCCAGTGGGTCTAGAGTCTGTAAAATTGCATACTTTGGGAAGTGGTGACCTGTTGCCGTACACTTGTTCAATCATGGCCGGGTCCGAGAAGAGCAGCGTGCGAGGACCAACTTGGACCACAGGGCCGTATTCCTCGTGGAGTTGCACGATGGTCAGACGTGTGCGCTCGTGGTACGTGTCGAGCATTTGAAAGAGATCTGGTGCACGAGTTAGATTTTGCATTGTCCATCAGTCGATTGAGTAATGTCGGGGTGGCTAGATACCCGTATAACGACGCCACCATGGTCCAGGGAAGCGCCATAGTCCTGTCCGCAAGGGGGTGGCGAGGAACCAGATCAGGCCTGCAACCACGCCAGCTAGAAACAAGGAGTAAATCATCTTCTTGTTCTCCAACACGAGAACAATGTGTCGACGACAAAGTCAATTGTATAGCGTTGCTAGTTTTAGCTTGTAATGTGAAGTTGGGATGTCCTACTATCTACAGGCTACCTCCATACATACTCGGTACGTAGATACCAATTGATACCAACAAACCCCGAAATCGCCGAATGTATATGATATGTGAAGGTGTATTGCGGCACAGAGACCAGGTTCGGCCTTGGTTGGTTCCGCTGGACTCTTTTTCGAGGGGTTCAGAGAGCGCCAGTACGCAATGTCTCTCTTGTGTTGTATTTACCGTGCTGCATAGGCATCCAATTAACAGACTGTTTGAATACTTCCATGTCTCTGCAAAGGTCCAAAGAGTTAATTAACAATTCGCTCATAAACCATTACTGTGGACTTTTCAATCCCACGCTTACCCTTTTTCTGCTTCACTCGTAACAAGATGTCGCTCCAGCTGACCGTCATAATCGTCGGCGCGGGCATTGGCGGCCTGGCCGCTGCAGTCGCGCTCCGTCAAGCCGGCCACAAGGTCACTGTCCTCGAAAAGTACCGCCACAAGCACGAAGTCGGCTTCGCGGTCAGTATATCGCCCAATGCCGTCAAGGTCCTGCGGAGTCTGGGAGTCGACCAAAAGAGTGCTCGTATGGTGCATTGCACCGAAGACGTCTTCATACAAGCAGCACCGGGTCAGCGTCCATTTCGGGTCCTCCTGCGGTCGTCGTTGGCCCAACTCGAGACGGAGTGTGGAGCGCCGTCAATGACTGCGTACCGGGCAGATCTGCACAACTGTCTAAGGGGTCTTGCCACCTCAAAAGATGGGGCCGGTGTGCCGGTGGAGATTGTAGAGGGTGTTTCCGCCGTGCATTTTGACTCTACGGGCTCGATCACGCTGAATAACGGGGAAGTGTCCAGGGCAGATTTCATCGTCGCGGCAGACGGCGTGAAATCCACAGCTCATCAAGCCATCATGGAAGATGGTGCAGAGCGACCCGCGAAACTCAGTGGGATCAGCAATGTGCGTGTTTGCGTGCCGACAAAATCACTTATGGAAGACGAAGCATTGAGAGAGTACATGGAGCTTGCACCCCACGGGACCTCTGTCACTCTGGGTGCAAGGCAAGATCAGATGATTTTGCGGTACCCGTGTCGGGAGTAAGTCATATCTCACTCACCTCGACCAAGGTTTGACTAACCTGGCCTGTCTGTCTAGCAATCTCCTCCAAAACCTCGGCTTTTATGCCGCCGTCGACGAAGTGCCTGCCAACGAGCAGAAATGGACGACACAGTCGTCAAAACAAGTCGCCCGCGACCGGATGCAGAGCTTTCACCCAGATCTTCACAAGATCCTCGACTACTGTGAGGAGGAGGACATGTATCTCTGGAGAGTGGCGGACCGCGATCCCCTGCCTTCGTACCACAAGGACCGTCTGATCGTCCTCGGCGACGCAGCACACCCTATGCTTCCCACACTTGGCAATGGCGCTGGAATGGCAATTGAGGATGCAGGAGCTCTTGGGTTGGCCATGACAGGAGTCATAGCAGTGGACGAGGTGGGGGGAAGGTTAGCCCTGTGGAACCGCGTACGGATAACGAGGGCGAGTGCTGTACAGCTATTGAGTCGGACGACGGGGGTGGGGTATGACCTCAGCAAGGAGACACAGGAGATGGTGAGGCAGATCCTGTCGGAGGAGGAGCTCCCAGACTTTACAATCGGGTGCGTGAGGAAGATGTTGTTCAGGTACGATTGCCTGGGGGAGATGAGGAAGACGCTGCAGGAAATCAGGGGAGTCGGCGAATTGTGTCCAACATGAGTGTCTACCCCAAGTTTTGATGATCAAAGTGTTCGGTGCCGCATATTAGAATCACCGACAGAATGTTTGCTTCGTATGGACGAGCACGAGCACTGGTAGAGACGCAACTGCGACCCCTCCCTTTCGGCGAATGTCAACCCCACCTTCACTAGGGGATGTTGAGCCATGATAGGTCAAGTTGAAGGGAATCCTCCACTACAACGACACACACTAACCTCATACGATTAGCGCACAAATTTATCAGGACGCTAGTCTAGCGTCCGCCCATGAGTAGCATCAGGGCCATGCAGCTGAACGAGGTCGGACCCAACCAGTAATAATAATGCTGTACTCGGTACCTAGCCAGGAATGTCAATGGGTCCCCCTGTCGATTGCGGTAGATCCCTGCCTCAGGAACGCCAATCACATCCATCTCAAGATCGTGCTGACAGTGATGCAGTTTCGGTGGCAGGATTCGGTTCAGGCGGCACCTGGGTGGCATCTGGGTGGCATTGTTGGCTCACAGCAGTTTCTGGCAACGAGGACCCTGCGACTACCTACCTCGTATGTACCCTCGTACCGAACGCCACCCCTTTCAACTGTCCCCACCTACTGGGGATCTTTGTTCGGAAAGGAGCCCACCCGACGGAGCCAAACATCAATCTCATGGATTTTCCAATCTTCTGGAACAATTCTTGAATGTCTCACCTCGGAGGTCAAACTAGCTGCGCAGCCTTGTGCTGTCTGACTTGCTTTTTCAATCAGCCCTTGATGGTTTAATGGATTGAAGAGGCTACCACCTCGAAAGTCTTGTGACTCCTGCCTGCTGTTCGACTGTGACACGGCTGCTCTCTGCATTGAAGGCATCTCGGACCTTTTCGCTCAGCGCCTCCCTCTTCATCATGGCAGCAGGTACCATCAGCCGTTCCCATTCCTTCCGAGCTATCTGCTTGATAGACCTGCTGAGCGACTCCTCACAGATGATTCCTGCGATCCCAAATCTGACGATGTCTCGTCACTTCATATCCGCACCACCCAAGGCAAGGATGCCGCAACGTCGATCGAAGGACAGCCAGAGACGACGTCAAAAGAAACCGCCACGCCAATAGCCACGTCGTCGTATCCAGGCCCATTCAAACAAGCGATCCTAGTGATTGCCTTGATGCTTGCCACGTTCATAGTTGGCCTCGATACGGTCTGGAGCGGATATTCTCCCCGAAGAGGAGCACGCTGACGACTGACATAGAGCATCATCGCCACGGCTATCCCGACCATCACCAAAGAGTTCCACAGCGTTGACCAGGTCGGCTGGTACGGATCCGCGTTCTTGATGTGTCTGGCCATGTTCCAAGGTGTGTGGAGCAAGGCATACAAATTCTTCCCGCAGAAGATTGTCTTTCTGTCATGTATCCTCACATTCGAGGTGGGAAGCCTCGTCGTCGCTTTGGCTCCGAACAGCATCGCCGTCATTGCTGGGCGTGCGGTCCAGGGTCTCGGTGGTTCAGGCCTCACGTCAGGAAGCTACATCATTGCCACATTCATCGTCCAACCTTCATGCTTGTCCATCGTGATGGGGCTGTTTGGCGCCATCTGGGCTTGTGTTTCTGTCTTGGGTCCCGTGCTCGGTGGAGTCTTTACCCAGGATCTTACTTGGAGATGGTGTTTTTGGATCAACTTGCCTATTGGAGGTGCAACATTTCTCATCATTCTACTTCTCTTCAACACGCCACCGCAGTCTCAATCGGTCCAGGCTCCGACGTGGAAAGAATACCACCGCGAGTTTGATGTCATGGGAGTTGTTCTGGGATTAGGCGCCTGGATCTGTTTGTTGCTCGTGCTGCAAGACGGGGGAGTCCGGCACGCCTGGAACTCCAGCTTCTCCATTGGGTTGCTCGTTGGTTTTTGGCTGTTTGTGATCGCATTTATCGTCGCCGAGTGGACACAGGGCGACGGGGCCACTATTCCCAGACGACTCTTGAAGAGTCGCACCATTGCAGCATGTGCCATTTACAGCTTCGTGTAAGGTCCAAGATGGTCGATGGTGCGGATTTCAAGACTGACTATGCTGTGTCTCAAGGTCCAACATGGGTGGCGTCTCCCGAACATACACTCTTCCCATCTACTTCCAGGCTGTTCAAGGCGTGTCACCATCAGACAGTGGCGTGCGCACGATTCCCAGTGTGCTATCATTCTGTATGTTGCCAATCCCCCTCCCGTCACAAGCCAATCTTGTTGACGACGACTACCACAAGCACTGGCAACTTTCAGCTGCGCCATCCTTCTAGGGAAGATCGGCTACTACCAGCCTTTCCTTTGGGCAGGCGGCATCTTGATCACGATAGGTTCTGGGCTATACTATACTTTGACTCCGAGCTCGTCGGCCGGGCACTGGATCGGATACCAGATCGTCGCAGGCGTTGGACAGGGCATCGTCATCCAGCTTCCCGTCATGGTCGCACAGAAGGTCTCGGCGCGACAAGACCTGTCTGTCACTGTGGGCATCATGATGTGTGAGTTGTCCACCAACTTGGAGGAATCCACAAGATGCCAACAGCTGACGTGTCACCCACCCACGCACAGTCGCACAGTTCGTCGGTGGCGGTTTCGGCGTGTCGACCGGCCAGGCCATTCTGAACAACCGCCTCATCGACAACCTCCCCCATGGCAACTCGGTCGTCACCCCTGCAAGCGTCCTGGCTGCCGGAGCGACGGGTCTTCGACAGGCATTCCCACACCCTCGCGACCTCGCGGCCGTCGTGGCCTCGTACATGATTGGGTTGAGGGACGCGTGGATCTTCACCACCGTCGCGAGCGGTGTCGCCTTTCTCACTGCCTTTGCGGCGGAATGGAGGTCGATCAATGAGCTCGTGCCGGACGCGAACATAGCGGTTGAAACGACAACGACATCCGCGAACGAAGAGGTCAAGGTTTGAGCTTGACTCGTCTCGAGACTATAGACTGGGGGGGGGGGGGGGGTGGTAAGGCGAGGCGGGCATGAATTGGATGCTTCGGAACGCGAGGTTTGTTGGTAATTGGACACTGATAGCGACCTAGCACGCGGGTGGGTGCGTGGGTGGTGATAGACATGTTTTGATATAATGTATAGAACAGTCAGTCCACCACTGAGGAAGAAACATTACCCTTCCTTTCAGTCTGACACCCTGACTGATCAATTCATACTGACTAAGAACAAATACACAGGGCCCTTGACCAAACAACCCCTAATCTGATCTGATAGAACAGACGATCTAGTCCACCCCCGTCCCGTCGCCGAGTCCACATGTTACAATTTTGCCGGGTCACATCCCGCAAAATGGGTCAGGGTTGGTAAAAAATGGCGGAGCTTACAGCCGGGAGGGGAGGCGATTCAGCCGGGGAGATAAATTTCTCCCAGGAGATGGCAGGGGAGGGAGGGCAGAATTACACTGCCCATCAGAGGGAATTATCTATGTATCAGACTCTGTGTGTATGTATGTTTGTATGTACCTAATGAGTTATGGGGGTATAGTGTTCGAAAAGTGTCAGGAGACCACTCAACAAAACACCCGGGTAGTATGGTAGCTATCCTTTACCGAGTACGTATACGTGTACGTGCTGGGGACTTTTTTCATGCATATCCACGGCCAAAGCGGAGTTAATCATTGACAATGTCAGGTACAGTATGTCCCGTATGAATCCACATTTTGGTTCCTTTTCAAGCACGAGCACCGAATCTGGCTCGGCTGTCCTGTCCTGTCCTGTCCTGTCTCTTGGGTCTGCAGTGGCATATAATAGTTGTCCCTTGTCCCAGGTCGTCTCTTTAAACGAGGCGGTGGGTGGAAACCGTACACGTCGTTCAGGTCTCTCGTCGATCGTCACCGTGACTATCATCGTCATCATCATCTTACTGTTCTTTGTCGAAAAGGATATTAATACCCCACGAGAAGAAAAAAAAGGAGCGAACACCCTCAAGAAGTCGCGAGAGAGATGGATCTCTCAACAGCCAAACGCACCCTCATCACGGCCAACCACATCCTCCACCACCAGGGCCAAGTCCTCGACGCCTACGGCCACATCAGCGTGCGGCACCCGACCAACCCGGCCGTGTTCCTGATGGCGCGCTACGTGCCCGCCGCGCTGGTCGCCTCGCCCGACGACATTGTCGAGTACCGCGTCGAGGACGCCGAGCCCGTCTTCCCGCACGCCCCCAGAGGCTACACGGAGCGCTTCATCCACTCGGAGCTGTATAAGCGGTTCGCGGCCGTGAAGAGCGTGTGCCACAGCCACGCGCGGGAGGTCATTCCGTGGGGACTGCTGGGCGGAGGGTATTCGGGGCTCAAGGCTTGTGTCAACACGAGTGGATTTCTGGGTAAGTCTCGTCCACCCTTGGTGTTGCCGTGTTCCAGACATTTTCTGCACGGTTCGGCGTTTCGTTTCCCTTCTGATCGGGTCTCGGTCAGCGAGATGGTGTGAAGACGGTAGTTTGAGATGAGGAAAAAGAGGAGCTCACAGGAAATGGGAATGATACTAATTCTGAACTGCAGGGAAAGAAACGCCCGTCTTCGAACCTCGTCCGCATTTCAGGCAGGGAGACATCAAAGACCTCCTGATCCGCTCCGAGCACCTCGGCGCGGCACTTGCGGCATTGTTCACCAATACACCCGGCAGTGGCGGCAACCTTGACCGGAGCGTCGTATTGATGCGAGGGCACGGCATGAGTGTGGCTGCCACGTCGATCGAGCATTGTGTTTTCCGTTCCATCTACACGAGAAACAATGCCATTGTCCAGACCACGGCGGTGATGCTGACGAGCTCGTTGACGCTGGGATCCAATGCCCGCAGCCACGGGGAAGACGACGACATAGCGGCAGACCTGACGTTTCTCGACGACGATGAGGTGGCCGATTGCACCGGGATCAATGAGAAGACAGTTCTCAGACCGTGGACTGCCTGGAGCAGGGAGGTTCAGGCGAATCCATTGTATGTGAATCTTGCGTAGGTCTAAGGGATTTGGCACGGGGTTGAGTTAGTCTCGGGCCTTTCAGAAGTATCAGAGGGTTTGAGCGTGCCACGTACTGGGTTGTCACTCCAATCATCCATCAAGCCAGTCCAGCCCGTGCTGTCCATCAACATGCTCTCGATATTGGCAAATTCGTCCTCAAATCCAGCCCTCAAGGACCCTTCACCGGCCGTCACATGATACGCCTCTTGCGTGTAGGCAGGATATAGGGGATTTACGACTTGTTGATGCTGGGCTTGATGAGGATACTGGTACCCGACGGCATTAGCCGGCACTTGCGGCTGATTGGCGTTGACATTTCCAGAAGATACAGCTCCGGTCTGTGCTCCGTTCCTGTCAGAGCTGCTCATCTCTCGCGACGGGGCCTTGCTCCTCGTTGTGGGCAGGGCTTGCAGTCTCGCTCGTAGCTGTTGGATGGCTTGGACATATCGAGATGCAAGTGGGTGCATTTGGCCACCCACACGTTGAAGTAGCTCAAGCCCCATTCTGACAGCATGGTCAACGTCCACATTCGGAGGCAAAGCAATATCAGCCTTGGACTGGGGTTCGACGGTCTGGTATACCAAGAGGACACCAAGTGCCGCGAAGACATCTAGAAACAAATCAGTCTCGTCAATTGAGACAACCATCAGAGAGCACTTACAGTGCGAGTTGTGCCAGAATGACGATAACTTGTTCTGATGATGCAAACTTCCCATCTGAGTGATCGAGTCGTAGGCCGCCGTCACGCAGCGCTTGACACATTTGAGCATAATTTCGCGCTGGAAATGGTCCGTGACTCGCCGCGTGATGTAGAGCAACAGAGTCTGGCGGTGGATCAGATGTCGCGCGTGAAGATATCTGCATGACCCCTCTGTTAGCCAATTGAGAAATCCTGGGAGCGGACGACACCCACCTCATGAGCAGAACATTTCTCTGTCGCTCAAAATGCCACTCCAGACCCTCTGCCCCTGGTTTGAGATGCTTTGGGAGGTTCTCTTGCCAAGTGGTCAACTCTCCATCGAGCTGGATCGACAGGGCCAGGAATTGAGTTGTGTCCATCACGGGCCTTGCTTTCTGCGAATTGTCGCCGAGCCCGTCACCGCTGTACAGAGTCTTCAGGATCTTTTCCATCAACCGGCACTGCGGAATAACCTGGTTGAAATACTCCAGCTTGGAAGGCACCCCTTGAGGCTGAACAGATTGGTCCTCTTCGTTGGACAGGAACTCGTCGTCTACTGCCAGTGGCATTCCCACTTCGATTCCTGGGCCATCTGGGATCGTGGGACGCCCAACTTTCATGCTCAGGACTCGGTCGAGGACGAAACAGCCCCACCACACACGCTTGCGAACTTCCTGCTCAATCTTATCTGAAGTAAAGGTGGCAGGATTGAGGTGCAACCCTAGTCCCTGTGCTGTGCGTATTGCGAGTCCGATGACCGTCCAGCAGTTGTTGAGCTCGAGAGCCCCATGGAGGTATTGACCCATTAAAAGCAGAGCTTGAACGAGTTCGATGGTGCTAACTTGTAACATGCCAGACACAAGTAGAGTCTTTGCCCTTTTGAAGTAGCGGGATCGGTCGCCAGCTGAACGGCCACTGATATTGGCGTGATCACTTCCGAACGCAAACACAAGGTTAACCAGCCCATACCAGGCCAGGCTCTGCTGTGTAGCCTCTTCTCCGCCTAGATCTTGACTTAGCCACAGCCGCCGATATCTCTGTCGAAATGTCCCTTCGTGCAGATATGGATTAAGCGGATGCCGGTACTTGAAATATGCATCCACCAGTCGGTCAGCCACGAATCGAGACGGTAGCCCGAATGGATCGTCCGACTCGGCACTCAAGAGGTCAAACAACGGTACTGATGGAGACGAGGTTGCGAGGGACGTGTTGGGATCTCTCAGAGACGATCCTCCGCCAGGGATACCCGAGCGCACAGTTGATGCTTCCTTCTCTGGTGAACCAACTTTGGCCATGAAATCAAAAGTCGAGGACTCGCCGAAGTACTCGGTTGGTGTGCCCTTGTTTGCATCGCTCAAAACAGTTGCTGGATCAGATGCAGCAGTGTGGCTTTCGCTGGGCATTCGCATGGCTTGTTGTTGTTCCACCAAGCGGGGACGGTCCAGTGTTTGGTTCTGTGAAGGGGAGACGTATTGGCTCCCTGGATTTGTGGCTCGCCCATCGTCGCTGGGTACCGTCGCAGGACCTTCCATCTCTCCCGGTAAGGTAGGGGTATTGCTTCCCATCTGTGAGCCGTTGTACAGGGCCGTTGGGGCCATCGACGATAGCACTTACAAATGGCGTGGATTGGCTCGTTGCGTGGCAGCAAGCTGTCTCTCGAGCAGTTCATTCCGCATCTTGAGCTCTTCAACATAACTTTCCCAGTCTCAGCATAAGCATTTCATTGTTTAGCCTGTGAGATATGAAAGACCCCACTATGTACAATACGGTGATACTTACTCTTGCGTGACACTCACTCGCGCCCTCTGGGGTGAGTAAACACACTCCTGCCGACGCTGTCGACATTGCTGGCAAGACGGACGTTCGCCATCGCATCTATTCTTCTTCAATCTGGAGAATCGTCAGTCTCCAAAACGTCACAGCCCTGCAGACAGTGCAGGTGGAGTCTGGGGTCAAGAAGTCCCACCTGCAAAGATCGCATGCGTAGCCAATCCGGCGTCTCTTGGAGGGTTGCTTAGCGGCGTCTTGCTCATTTCCCGCAGGCGAAGCAGTAGAAGACTCGGCTATCATACTGCATGAGACAGTCTCTGGGTTGTGTGACTTTTGTTTTGTCTCCTGACCAGGTTGGAAAACGCGGAGTCGGGGTGGTTTTGAAAGGGGAGATATCTTTATTTCCGCCCTCGGAATCCTGCGCCGGGATGGCCGGGGAGTTAGAGCCGAGAAGTGGGGCAAAGCCTTGGCATCGACTTGGTGTCTGTCCCTCCCTGATCATCCCCCATTATTGGCAGCTACAGGGAATACCTAGGCAGTTGGAGAGCACCCAGGCTAAAGCGCTGGTAGAACTCCTGGCAACCCTAGTATCATCTTGTTCGATAAACTAAGTTGACCGAACACAAGCGATCTCTGATATGGTATATGAATTGCCTGGAGACTCCCTCCCCGCTCAGCCTTGTCCAGCCTCGGGCGTTGATATTAGATTGCGGTACATGGTTTCATTGGCGACCTCCTTTTCCCACAGCGGCCATGGCTTCACAGCTCCCATCCCGGTCGTCGTTCCTGTATCATGAGCCTCGCGCTGCGTAAAGTACTTCACGTCGCCACCCAATCCCATTGCACTGCGTTGAACCCTTGCATTTTGTTGCGTATAGATACAGTTGAAGATGCACATTTCCAGGCTCTCAGAGGTCACCACCATCCCGTGACCTCTCATGAGCACAACTGGATGCCTGACCTGGCCATTCTCCCCCAAAGTCTTCGCCAGCGAGGACGCAAGCTTGATGTTCCGGACCAGCATATCCTGATTGTCGGATGGATGGTCTTTATACACAGAAGCAGCATCCCACACGGGAACAGCGGTCCCCAGAAACCCGGCCATGTGAAAACACGCGGACAATGGCACCGTGGAAATTGAAAACGGCACCACATCCAGACTATGTGAATGAACCACTGACTGGACAGTTGGATACGCTTTGTACACTTCGGAGTGAATGAACCGCTCCGAGAATCCTGTTTTGGCCGTGTTACAATATTATTCAGAGTATCCGAGGGAAGCAAATTTCTCAATGTCGAGTAAGAATACTCTCATGGTTTACTTACCTCTTGGGGCATCCGGTTTCACAGGCTGTGCATCTTCAATCTTGTATATGACAAGGTCTTCAAGGGATGCAACCAAAGCCGGAGCGAGATACCTGGACATCAGAAAAGTCCAACTGGACAAACGCACCGACAGGTGGCCGTACGCGTCGACGAGATCATGCTGATGGAGCATGTGACAGCCGTCGATGTACTTTCGAAGCAAGGCAGGAGAGACCTGCGACAGGTCTGTGACGGAATCGACCGAATCCATCACGTCCATCTCCTTATATTGTGCAACGTATTGGAGAATTTAGGAGTCAATGTACATTTTTCAACGAATGGCTTAGAAATTTGATGGTGCACATCACTCAAAGATCTTCTACAGACCTTGTAGAACATGTCCATATTGTCGAACTCGGCACCATCGGTATCATTGATCCAGTCCGGGGAGCTAACCCGTCAGCAACACAATCCGGGCGATCACCCTCCGTAAGCCGCCAGGTCAGTAGATATGTGCCGTCGTCACAGCTTAGACTGCCCCAACTTTCGCCCTCGTCAACAGGCATCGAATGCAGGAAGGCGGTAGCGGTAGATGAGAATTGACAGTGGAATTTCCCATGTGGCCTTCGCGTTAGTTTCCCTTTTTCTCAAGTAAAGAATGGCAAGCCTAACTAGATCCCTTTTTGTCTACTCAGTAGTTATGTCTATAGCAGCCGCTGCCTTCGCCATTTTGCGTTAGCTCAGGGACATCTCCTCGCCGCTACAAACAGACCGCCAAGGCCATCCACATTTGGACAGATCACTGTGTATGCATCTTCTGGCGGTCGCAGTCTCCCCCCACGACAACTTGTCAAAAGGCTTTAGGAAGTCCTCGTCCTTGGTTGCTACTCTTGGTGTGTCTTTTGATCTCTGGGACATTTCCGGAACGACCTGCAGAAATTCACGAGAATGCTTTGATCCTTTCCTACCGCAGCCGACCCTCCTCCGCGCAACTTGTTGCAACGTCTTTCAGTCGTCCCTAGAGCCCTGCCCTATTCACTCCTGTCTGTGCTGAAGACATTCTCGCGACCATGGCGACCTTCCTTGACAACTCGTACAGTCTCGTGCACCTTGACAACACCGCCGACCAGCCAAGTCAGCAGGACCTCAAGACACAATTAGAAAAGGGCACAGATGAGACGAAGATGGAAACCATGCGGCGGATTCTCACGATCATGCTCAATGGCGATCCCATGCCCAATCTGTTGATGCACATTATCCGTTTTGTCATGCCCTCGAAAAGCAAGTCTCTGAAGAAACTTCTCTACTTTTACTACGAAATCTGTCCGAAGTTGGACGCGAATGGAAAGCTAAAGCAAGAGATGATTCTTGTTTGGTGCGCTCAACTGCCTGTGTAAATATGAGGGATATCGAGACTAATAGCCACCAGTAATGGAATTCGAAACGATCTCCAGCATCCCAACGAGTTCGTCCGGGGCAATACGCTGCGCTTTCTTTCCAAACTTCGAGAACCCGAATTGATCGAACCCCTCCTCTCTGCCGCACAAACCTGCCTCGATCACAGGCATGCCTATGTGAGAAAGAACGCGGTATGGGCATTGGCCTCTGTGTACCAGAATGCCCAGCACCTGATCCCAGATGCTCCTGAGATGCTCCACACGTTCCTCGCTGGCGAGACCGATACCACCTGTAAAAGGAATGCCTTTGCGGCTTTGATGACCATAAGCCATGACAAAGCGTTGGAATATCTCACCGGAGTCCTAGACGGAGTGCCTAATGCCGATGAGCTGCTCCAGCTGGTTGAGCTCGAGTTTATCCGAAAAGATGCTGTCCAAAATCAAGCAAACAAGGCGCGGTATTTGCGGTTGATCTTTGATCTGTTGGAAGCGAACACAAGCACGGTTGTCTATGAAGCTGCAACCTCCCTAACAGCACTGACTAACAATCCCGTGGCTGTTAAGGCTGCCGCTGGGAAACTGATCGAGCTAAGCATCAAAGAGGCGGACAACAACGTCAAGCTTATCGTGCTTGACCGGGTTGACCAGTTGCGGAGACGGAATGAGGGCGTGCTGGATGATCTCACCATGGAAATTTTACGTGTGCTGTCCAGCCCCGACCTAGACGTCCGACGGAAGGCTTTGGCGATTGCATTGGAGATGGTTTCCAGCAAAAATGTTCAAGAGATCGTCATGCTACTGAAGAAGGAACTTAGCAAGACAGTGGTTGAACAATACGAAAAGAACTCGGAATACCGACAACTCCTGATTCAGTCCATCCACCACTGCGCCATCAAGTTCTCGGAGATTGCAGCCAGCGTTGTCGATGTCTTGATGGACTTTATCGCCGACTTCAACAACAGCTCCGCAGTGGATGTCATCTCCTTTGTCAAGGAGGTGGTTGAGAAGTTTCCTAAGCTTAGATCCTCGATCGTCGAACGCCTGGTGTCGACCTTGGGAGAGGTCCGGGCAGGAAAGGTATACCGTGGTTCACTGTGGGTGATTGGCGAATATTCATTACAGGAGAACGATATCAAGGAGGCCTGGAAACGAATCCGGGCGAGCCTTGGGGAGATCCCCATACTTGCTTCGGAGCAACGGCTGTTAGATGAGCAGTCGAACGAGGACGGCGAGGCTAAGGAGCAGGTCAACGGTCACTCCGCACCCAAACCCGCTGCCAGTGGATCACGGAAAATCCTCGCCGACGGTACATACGCGACTGAGAGCGCTCTAACCAGCGATTCCGCCGCAAAGGCGAGACTGGAAGCAGTCAAAGCAGCACAGAAACCTCCGTTGAGACAGCTTATCCTCGATGGGGACTACTACCTGGCGACGGTGCTTTCTTCTACCTTGACCAAACTTGTTATGCGTCACTCGGAGATCTCGAAAGACCAGGCACGCACTAATGCTTTGCGTGCTGAGGCCATGCTGATCATGATTTCGATCGTTCGAGTTGGGCAGTCGCAGTTCGTCAAGGCACCCATTGACGAGGATTCTGTGGACCGAATCATGTCTTGTGTACGCGCTTTGGCCGAATTCACGGAACGCAAGGAACTTGAGGTTTCCTTCCTGGACGATACTAGGAAGGCCTTCCGTGCTATGGTACAAGCCGAAGAGAAGAAACGGGCGGCGAAAGAAGCCGTAGAAAAGGCAAAGACAGCTGTGCAAGTGGACGATGTTCTTTCGATACGACAGCTATCGAAGAAGAATGCAGGCGATGGCACAGATGAGATGGAACTTGATCTCGAGAAAGCAACCGGCGGGGATGCTTCGTTTGAAGATCTCTCCTCCAAGCTAAGTCGGGTGGTGCAACTTACTGGGTTTTCAGACCCCGTATACGCAGAGGCATATGTCAAGGTCCACCAATTCGACATCATCCTCGATGTACTCCTGGTCAATCAGACGACCGAGACTCTCCAGAACCTCTCGGTAGAATTCGCGACGTTAGGTGATCTGAAGGTGGTGGAACGACCAACTACACACAATCTAGGACCGCACGACTTCCTCAATGTGCAATCGACCATCAAGGTGTCAAGCACGGATACAGGAGTGATATTTGGCAACGTCGTATATGACTCGCCATCGGGGACAGACACACACGTTGTCATCCTGAACGACGTGCATGCAGATATCATGGACTACATCCAGCCAGCGACGTGCTCCGAATCAGCATTCCGGACCATGTGGACCGAGTTTGAATGGGAAAACAAAGTGAACATCAACAGCAAAGCGACAACGAAGACGCTACGAGAATTCTTGGATCAACTTATGAAGAGTACGAATATGACGTGTCTGACACCCGAAGCCAGCTTGAAAGGTGACTGCCAATTCCTGAGTGCAAATCTATATGCGAGGAGTGTTTTCGGTAAGTGACGCATCTCTGCGTGTAAAACTGTTTTGGTGTGACTGACTCTGGACCTAGGTGAGGATGCTTTGGCGAACTTAAGCATAGAAAAGACGGCGGACAACTCGATTGTAGGGTTTATTCGGATTCGGTCACGATCACAGGGGCTGGCTTTGAGCCTGGGGTCATTAAAGGGTTTGAAGGCAGGCACTTACTAGACCATATCGATCTGGAGGTGGGAACAAAATGAGGCCGCCGAGCACCACCAGGATGGGCAACACCATCAATCTAGTCAATAAGGGACTGGCTACAGAGCCGTGGTCAAGAAGGAAGAGCAGATATCGGTGTGTGGAAAAATGCAGGATGAAAGACATGTGCCCAATGAAGACCACGGCATGCAAGGCTGGGCGAGGGGCCACGAAGACAAGGCCGGAGACTCGGGACAGCCGTTGAGGGCGCCACGAGGTCCGACAGGACCAGCTGGTGACGGATGTGGGACACACCAGCGGATCCACGGCCAAAATCCCACCAGCCGAATGGTCGCGTCTCACCAGCGCAGCTCCATCTCTGCGCGGCCACAGGAAATGATCCATCCCAGCCATCTCGCATCTCGCATCTCGCGGTGCCAACAATGCCAACAAATGCCACCAAGTCTTCATGCCTCATCATGTCTCTAAAATTTTGTTGTAAATGTCATTGTAAGGTCCTGAGATCACTGACTCCTCTATTGTCAGGAATTACTCACTCTCCGTCCACCTCACCTCTCTAGGGGTTGCATCGTCCTCACTTCGTCCTCACGCATACCACCATCGCCTTTCATCGTCGTAGCCCGATACTGAGGCAGCCCTTCTTCCACAGTGCCTATGGCACCATGGCTGCAACTGGCAGCCCTACCCTCGTCGCTCCTAGCCCTTATCGGCAGCTCGATTCCGTCAGTGGCATCCCAAGAGCTGAACTTGCAGTGGCCATACAATCTCCCACCCGATTCGAAGTACTACCCCGAAGATGAACTGCGGGTCAAAAGGGATCTAGATGCACAACAGAAGCTGCAAAAGAGTAACCCGACCGGGGTGAGGAAGATGAGCGGAGATCCTGGAGAGATGTTCTATCTACAATACTGGGGCTTTGAGCAGCAGCAGGAGGAATTCAACTGCGACGCATTAGACTGGGCCAATGCAACCACGTTCACATCCTTCGATCTCCCAGTCCGAGTTCACGACGAGGACCAGAGTCCGCGCCTCTTCCGGCGACTGCTCCCAGGTTGGCACCTCTTCGCAGAGAGGGACTTCCAATGTCCGACGGGCACATCTGCCTGCACCTCGATCGATCGACCCAACAGCTGCTGCGCGACTGGCTACACCTGCCAACTGGTTCAGGACACTGGACTGGGTGATGTGGGATGCTGCCCGAGTGGCCAGGTGTGCGGCAATGCGCTCTCGACGACATGCGCCAGTGGCTACACCTCGTGCCCGAACGACCCAGGCGGTGGGTGCTGTCTTCCAGGATACGCATGCTACCAGGTCGGATGTGTCCAGACATCGACCGCGACGATTCTGACCAACCCAACGCCGTCCACGACCACAGTAACGAGATACACGACAATCACGCCTTCACCCTCAACGCCCACGCCCACAACCCCTACCTCGACGTCCACGACCACACCGACCTCGACCAGAACTTCCAGCGTCTCCCCACTGCCTCCAGTAATCTCGACAGTCACCCTCACTGTCACGGTCACATCTGCCACGACCCTGCCACTGACCTGCTCGTCGGGCTTCCGCTCGTGCCCGGCCACGCTGGGCGGTGGGTGCTGTCCGACCGATCGTCAATGCGGCTCAGCAAATTGCCCTCCCCTCTCGACATCCTCGTCGGCGACGCCAGAACCGCCCGTGCGGCCGACCTCGCTGACCACGACGGTAGAAACGACCACCACGACGGCCACGCACTCCACATCGCCCTCCTACCCGGTGACCGGGTGCCCGACGGGCTTCTACGCCTGCTCCGCATACTACGTGGGCGGATGCTGCCAGGTTGGCCGCGACTGCGCCTCGACGTCGTGCCCGGCGCTGCCCTCGACGACGCTCGTGTCGGGGAGCACCCTGACGATCGTCGCGCCGACGGGGTCGGGCATCACCGCGCCCGGCACGCTGCCCACGGGCAACTGCGCACAGGGCTGGGCGACCTGCGCCCCCAGCGTCGGCGGCGGGTGCTGTCCGAGCGGCTACCTCTGCGGCGCTACCAGCTGCAGCGTCCCCGCGGACGTGACTGGCCAAGGTGTCGGAAAGGAGGCGCCCAACGCAGCATCCAGCGAGAAGACACGTTTCTGGTGGTCCGGCGGCGGCGGCGGCGGCTTCTTTGGTGCTTGGGCCTTGATTCTCGGCGTGTGGTTCCTATTTTGACCTCCCCATCTACCGAACAGGTACATAGGTAATGTATGCATGTACATATACCTTGATGGGAGAGGGCAGGGGGTAATTAATAGTGGCCGCCATGTCTTTCCTGGATGGATTGATTGACACCAGGAAAGGGGACATAGCCTTGCTCGTAATATCATGTACGTATGTAATGTACATACAAGTACAGGGGACAGTGCTTTTCTGGACAACAAACTACGGGGGAAAGCGAAGCAGCAATCTTTTTTTCTGACTTGCACATTGAGGGGGAGCACAGACGATAGAATCACCTTGGTGGCATATGATGGTACATGAATGGCTCAGTGGCCTCAGTCTAGCAGAGAATAAAAAGCGTAATGATCAGATAGAATTTACTTTCTTGTCTCTCTCAGAAATCTGGGTTTGACTTTGCGTCGCTCCGTTGCTGTCACGCAAGATCCTCCGCGGCGGTTCACCCAAGCTACTAGAAGAAGTTCTCGTTCACGGTGTTTGTCGCAATCCCAAGAAAAAGAGTGGCGCCCAAACCCATCGCCCTGGCTACTCCGGCCCTCTTGGTGTATTTCCTTCCCTTGCTGTCGCTTACAAGTACACTGCAGATGTTGGTCTCTTTCTTGCCAGTCATCAAGGTCTGACTCCGACCCATTGCCTAACGCCCTGCGCCCTTGCTCAAATCATTTGCTCGCCCTAGTATGTTCCAATCAGTACCAAAGCCAGCCAGATCCCCGACTTGCACCCAATACGCCGTCACTGGCCTTGTTGCGGCACTGCCAGCTCATCATATTCTTTCAGCTTGCGTTGCACGAGCTCGAGTGCATGTCGCTTGACCAGTTCTTTATCCTCCCTCACATCGACTTGCATGACATCCCACTCAAGCTCTTCCTCCGGCTCCTCCAACGTGGCCATCTGGCTGTGCACCATCCCTTCTTTCATGTAGTGACCGACTCGCGCAGCCACTCTCGCTTGCAGCGTTACTTCGTCAACCTTGAGGTAGATGAAGTGGACTTGGACAGACGGATGATCGTAGTTGGCGACGCGAATGACGTCGCGATATTTGCGCTTCAGGGCCGAACATGTGACAATGACGGAATTGGAGGTTTGAAGCCTTTTGATGGCTTCTTCTCGGAGGGTGATCAGCCAATCCCAGCGGTCAGCGTCTGTCAGAGGGATTCCTGAGGCCATTTTTTGCTTGTTGGCAGTGGGATGATACTGTGCATTTATTTAGTCTAGACGCACACAAATCGAGGACAGAGGAGCATACATCATCACCCTCGATGTAGGGTAACGACAACTCAGCAGCAAGGTGCTGAGCTACCGTAGTCTTTCCACATCCTGCAGGACCGGTAATGATCCAAATGTGTTCCAGGTGATCGGTCCCGTTTTGCATGGCTCGTGCAGAGGCCCCGTAATTTGAAGAAATCGGTCGATGAGGGTGCCGAAAGGGATGAGGTCTACTCGATCGTTCTGTCGACAGCATGGCGGCGTATGTCAGGCAAAGCAAACGGGTGATGTCACGGCTGAAGCGAACACGAGATACGGCGCCTAGTGCCGGGGGGAGACACGCGAGCAAACAAAGGCAATGAGCGACAGGAATAGTGCGTGGGGTTCAAGCAAGTCAAGTATAAGAGAGATGAAGAGTAAAAGAACCGGTCACTTACTGGGGAGGAGGGTTGGGATATAAAGAAGTAGCACATAAAGGGGGGCGGATGTAGGGTTGAGGATTGCCGTTCAGGTTCACCAAACTTGCTTTTTGGGGTGGCGGTCAGTGCTGGAATTCTGGATGGGAAAGAATTCGAAAGACTCGAGATGGCTGAATGTCGTACAGAGCTGGATTCGATCCAGGGTGACAGTTGCCCGGTCTTACCCCACACGCTGAAGTCCACTTAGGGACGGTGGTTCTGCCGGTTAATATCTGGCGATGATGACCAGGTGGCAGGATCAGATCAGGTCCAGTCGCGGACTGCGGCACCAAGATGACCGTCTGAAGCTTAAGGAGGATAGTGATTGACGTGGAATCGAGGCCCCCCAGGAGACAGAGTTCTCGTATTGATCGGGGAAGCAGTAACAAGGACTGAATGGTGCTAGAGACTTTGGAGAATGTGCGGCCTGCGGGGAAGACGGAAAAGATTCCAAGGGATCGGCAATTGAACCATCAGCCATTTGACACTGGAGGGCAATCCCCGTCAGTTACCGTTGCCGATGAGAGGCGTTGAGGAGGAGGACGACGATGAGGAGATCCAAAGAGTTGGGAGAGTGTCGACCAAGAGTACCATCCGTCCTCTCGGGACACAGATAAGACTCAAAGACTCCATACCCGCCACATGCTTATCATTCAGAAACTCTTCTCTTGCTTCGCATCTGACTGGTCTTGTCTTGGCCCAACGGTCGGAAAGTCACAAACTTGCAGTGCTTTGTACCGGATTCAGGTCTTCACGGAGGTCCGTCTCGAGGCAGGCACGTGGTCGATGTGAAGCCAAAAACATTCGCCGCAGGACAGTGAAGAAGGGCATGGGTATGTTGGAGATGATGTAGGCGATGCCTGATCACCCACTCGTGACACGATGGGCACGGACTCGAGGATCCTCTGGTATATTCCATACCTTTGCCCTAGGCTAGCCGGGTCTCTGAATGCTGTAGGAAGATTGTTGACGGGAGGTGGTGAAGAGAATCAACGCGCAGGCAAAACCAAGTGCAAAGGCGCTTGTCGCTTAAGATTGATGGGGGCTTGGCACTCATCTTGGGGCAGCACGGATGGCTAAGCGCAGCTGCGGTTCCAGAGAACGACGTACCTAGGTAGCCAGGCAGCCAGGCTCGCTAGGGCATGATTGTCGCCTGTTATACAAAGTGTAGCGCAGCTTACATCTTTTGAACGCCGACAACATTTCTGCTGCATCTCCCATATTCTCAGGCAATATTCTCCTCACAGCATCCCAACCGCTAGATAAATACACCTGCAGCATCCCCTTCCGTCCCCCACCTTGTCTACCATGTCAGCATTCTTCTTCTCAACTCCGGTCGATATCGACATTGTCCTCGAAGACGCCGACGAGCGACAAACTGTCGATGTTAAGCTCGACAAGAACAGGCGGGAAAAGGCACCCCTATATCTCGATGGCGAGTCTGTTAAAGGCGCCGTCACAATAAGACCAAAGGATGGGAAAAGACTGGAACACACGGGTATCAAGGTCCAATTCATCGGTCTGATAGGTATGCCACGATAGAACTGCGCTTTGGCTGGGCCACCCATGGTATCTGACTCTAGCTTTGTCTAGAAATGTTCTTCGACCGGGGAAATCATTACGAATTCCTGTCGCTAGGACAGGAACTTGCTGCGCCGGGGGAGCTGCAACATCCTCAGACCTTCCCATTCAACTTCAAGAACGTCGAAAAACAGTACGAGTCATACAACGGCATCAACGTCAAGCTCCGATACTTTGTGCGCGTCACAGTCTCGAGAAGGATGGCCGATGTTATTCGGGAAAAGGACATTTGGGTCTACTCATATCGGATACCGCCGGAGACAAACAGCTCAATCAAGATGGATGTCGGCATTGAAGACTGTTTGCACATCGAGTTCGAATACTCCAAGAGCAAATACCACCTCAAAGATGTCATTGTTGGGAGAATCTACTTCTTACTGGTCAGACTGAAGATCAAACATATGGAGCTGTCTATTATCCGACGGGAGACGACTGGTGTCGCCCCCAATCAATACAATGAGAGCGAGACGTTGGTGCGGTTTGAGGTACGTGGTCCATATCTTTGCATGGTCCTTGATGCTCACGGTTGATTCCAGATTATGGACGGTTCTCCATCGAGAGGTATGATATCCCCTCTTTCCCTGATGTGCTCGTGCATGGAGTCTCGCTCTATACCAATGCTTTGAGTCGTGGGACAAGGATGAGTAACAATGATATACTGACGAGAGACCAGGCGAAACGATCCCCATTCGACTGTTCTTGGGAGGCTTTGACCTGACCCCGACCTTCCGAGAGGTGAACAAGAAATATTCCACCAGATATTACCTCAGTCTGGTGTTGATTGACGAAGGTACGTTCCTATGATATGCTCCGCCTTTGAATGAGGCGTCCAATCCCTGTCTTTGTGAGAGCCATTGAGCCTTTTCAGCCTTGCAAACATGCCTACACTGCTGTTCCCCCACTCGAGGCTCATCTTCAATTGCCGACACGTGCCAAAATTCCCCACGCTAGGCCTGGTATCCGACTTTTCAATACCCGTTCAATGTTGGATTCCACCTTTTGATCCAGCTGACATTGTGCAAATAGATGCCCGCCGCTACTTCAAACAGTCAGAAATAGTGCTCTACCGACAGGCGCCCGAACTAGCTCCCCCACTAGCAACAGACCAGCCTGGTGCTGGCGGCAAATTGCCCATCCACACACCGCCGACACCTGCCTAAACCAGGAAACCTCCCTCCTCGCGTTCGCCATTGGCCATGAAAACCTTCGCCGGGAAAATCTTTCTACCAGAGATGCAGGCGTCTGGATAGGGTTACAATGCACAGAGGGACTCGACCCAAAATGGGCAATATTCCGCGTCGAATTGTGTACCTTCACATTGCCATTGGGCATCTCATAAGTGACACCACCATGTCTGCAAGTCTAATCCAGGTTTCCACGCGGCGAGTTTCGAGTCTGGCCCAGAGTACAACGTCAAATCCGGGGATGTTACCGGCTCTTCCTCGAAGAATGTGCTGTGGAATGGCACTCTGGAAGGCTATGGACTCAATCCACCAGTCCCCAGTGGGCGCCACAGAGTCACTCGAGTAGGCAGCCTGCCGACCTCGACTCCCAGGATTTCTCCAATGACTCAATGCGCATTACACCGAAGTTTGGGTGGATTGATGGCAATCGCCCTCCATACTTCATCAAACACAATATTTTCCATGCGCCGATTTGTCTCTCAGTTCTATATATCCTCATGTGTCCTTCTACTCTTGAAAACATGCGGTGATACATTCGTGCTCCGAGCTCCCGATCGTGATATTCAGAGTCGTTGGCAACAACCTTAGCATCCCATCTTCACGAAAAGCCCCCGAGAAACTCCCTTTCTACTCGATGCCCAGAAACCCCCAATCCTCTGCCACAACCCTGGCCCAGCTGTCTAGAGCCGCTTCGATCGCCTTGCCCGGCCCATCATCCTGCCACGCGCGTGCCCCGGGGCCTTGTAATCTCGGCAGTCCTTGCCAGAACTTCCGGACGCGCAGCATCAAGCCGTAGAGAACGCGGAGGTGGGCCTTGCCGTCGTCCACTTCGCTAACCCCCAGTCTCCGCATGGCAATGGGCAATCCTTGAGAAGGGTCCTTTTGCTCGAGATCTTGTGTCATCCTAGCAATCGCCTGACCGTCACTCCTCAACTCAACGAACTTGGATAGCACAACCTGCAACTCCACCTGCTGCGGCTCTGGCGGCGGAGTAAGACCTCGCAGCCGCTGGTCTGCTAGAAATGTCTTGCAAGGGTGCGCCACGCGCAATACGAGATAAGGGGCTGCTGCGCTTGCTAACTTGGAATATTCGATCCTAAGATCTCCCTGGTCCTTAGCACTTTCCGTAGGCCGCTGTAGCGATACAAGCTCAAATAGCGCATCCAACGCTGCGTAGCAAATGCTGCGTCTCACGGCAAATACCGGCCGGTGGACACTCCCAGGTCTCGTCACTAGCAAGTCTTTCAATGGGTCATTGGTGAGATCATCTGGAATGTCGTAAAACCAAGGGTTCGCGAGCAGTGATGCCTGGAATATGACAACGGCATACTCCTTGCATGCGTCTTCCCGGACCTCTTCTGACAGCTGGAAGATGGGAACAATGGCATCATGCAGAAGCCGGAAATGTTCGATGTCAAACGTCTCATCTTCGAGAATTGTCTCTTCAGTGTAACCTGAACCAGGCGGGTTGGGTAGACCACCAGAATTCAGGATACTAACGGCGATGGAGGTGATGTCGGGTGCCAAACCACCTAGGTGAGGGCGATCCACTGACCGTGACCTTCTGTGGCTCACATGTTTCTGCAAGGCTTCGAGCATCACCACTGCAGTGACGGTGGCATTCCTCCATAACGGTGCTTGACTGTTCGTGGGGATCTTGGTGTATTTCGTGTTAATGATCGCGGAAAGCACTTGGCATGCTCTTTGCACGGCTAAATTGTCGATGAAATGCTCGTCCTCCGCGTGCTCCAGAATCAAGTTCCGCAGGTTATCCAAACATGTGGAAGCAAAGGCTATGAACGTTGGCTTCTGCGCAGATTTCGAGATGGCTGACTTCTTATATTGGGGACCAATCCTCCCATCCTGAATATTAAGAGTGAGACTTAGCATTCTCAGCGTGAACTGGGAATATTCCGACACTTGGCCGCGCAAGAGGGATTTCAGGATTGCCATGCACTGCAAGGCCTCCTTCTGTTCCGGTGCCAGAGCTTTTATGTCGTTTGTGTAAGGAGGATGCAGACACAGCAGAATTCCGTACTCGATGGCATTCATTAGCATAGGTGTTTGGCCTTGCATATAATTCGAAACAGCGACGGGCCTGGTCTTGTACGCTTCGACCAGGACATTAGCATGCGAAGTGAACGCTTGTTGATTCGACGGTCCGTCACCGGCCACATGGTGAGGTTCAGAGTCTTGCCCAATCTTTGCAGGATGATAGTCTGTCCAAAGCTGCATTGGAGGCACAATCAGATCTTCATCCACGTCTCCCAAGATCGACAGCGCGGAAAGAAGTTTTGACAAATTCGAAAAGGCCAACGAAGACGCAACCAGCGAGCTCGTACTTAGGAGGGACTTCAGAACGTCCATAGTACGGAGCCATGTGTTGCTAAAGTCATTGTGGGTGGCGACCACTGTTAGATTCTGAGATATAATCTGAATAATACCCTCCGTCAGTTGAGCCGTGGAGTCCATCCAGTCGCTCTGATCGCTCTTGTCTGCTGCATACTGAGTGATGCAAAATCTAACAGTGTCGAGTAGACCACCTTCGAGCATGATTGCCCATGTATTTGGGCTTAGTGCCTCGCTCGAGGCATCAAGCATCTTTAGTAGGACTTTGATGGCTGCGTTTCGAACATCTGCACGCTCATCTTTGCACAATTCAATCAACTGCAGCAAAATGACACTCCAGATTACTCCAGAAGAAGACTCGGAGTTTGCTGTGACTGATTCAATCCGGCTCTCCAGAGTTGGCATGGAAGAGAGATCGATCGTCTCGATCCTTGACAAAGCTTGAGAGGCGAGACTCCACAGAACAGTCGTGCTTGTTAACGCCACGTTCAAGTCATAATACTGAGAGCCAAATTGACGCAGAAGTTGAGCCAGTTTTGCGAGCGAAGCAGTATCGAGAACACCGAGAAAGTCCGAGGCAATCAGCTGTATAGATCTGAATGCCACTCTTAATATCTGAGCCGTCTGAGCATGGTTGTCGGCCTGTTCCGTGGATGCATCGGTAGGCGGCGGTCGTGCCTGTCCCCTCTTCGCGAAAGATATTGACAGTATCTCGAGGGCGATAGGCCAGCAGTTGTTCAGAGATTCTCCGCTATGGCTAAGCATACTTTCAAGAGAATCTAGAAGTCTCTTGTGGATTTCCAGCTCGACACCATCATACCTTCGACTGGGGGTCTCATCAAAGAAATCTAACTGTTGTAAGAGCGATCGCAAGCAGCGGGATCTAATGGTATCAGCCTCGCTGGCTTCGAAACGTGGGTCATCCAACAACTTGACTGTCTCCATCGAGATCAAGTCCAATATGCTCGCAGATTGTATCCGATGATTGTCAGCAACACTGGTGTCATGAGAGAGGCGCAGCAAACGACTTGCAATTAGATCCCAGGAACAGGCTTGCTCTGCAGAAGATGCGAAGCGGTATATGTTGATGCGCGACAAATCGCTGAGCTTGTTAAGCACGAACCCGATCTCCAGATCCAGCGTTTTTGACTTTGTCCACAGACCAGATACACTTCGAGAGACATGATGTGCAGGTCTTGGAGCTCCTAGACGAGTCGGTGAGATAGGAGAACCAAGGCTTTGCTCCGCGGGTTGCGAATCACCTTCCGCATCACTTTGTCCAAGCAGGCGGAATAAGGCATGCACAATAACCGCAAACGCCTCGGCGCTAAAACTTCGTGTGCTGTCGAGCATTCGCTTTGTTGCCGCCTGGACAGCAGCTATCTCGGTCGAGAGAGTTGTCTGACCGTCGTGACCCATCCTCGGACTTTCTGATTGCGAGGTTGCCGCAACCGTGTTTGGCATTGCAATCAAAGCTTCAACCGTCTGCATGGTTTCAATGAGGATGAACCAAGCATCCTCTTCTAGCGTCGGCCCGAGAGCAATACCAAGGTTTAGCAACGCCCGAAGACAAAGCAGGTGCCTGACGTTGAGCGGTGAACTGCTGACCTGGAAAGTGGGTGTCGGCGGTGGCTCAGCTGGAGATTTAAGCACATCGTTGAAAAACCCATGTTCAGCATTTGTGGTTCGAGGGGACTTGAGACTTTGAGAGGCTGCTATGAAGCTACTCGCATTGGAAGGTATGGATGCTTTTGCCAAAGTTGTCAGCAAGGCATCTCTGGGCGTGGAGAGCTCGAGCACACCCGAAACCTGGGCCAATTTTTGAACTGATCGGATCAACATATGGTAAAACTCAGAGTCCAGTGCGGCATTGAGGAACGTTGAGCAAGTCGCAAGCGCGGCGGGCCAGCAGGACTCGATGAGATCTGCAGATGTCCGGATCTGGGCGTATAATCGATGGTTTGTTAAGGTCAGAGGATTGATGAGCCGCTGATATTTCTGAGAGGCAGAAGTTGGACGAATGGGTCTCCGTGCGGCATCGTCGTCTGTCCGGTCTGTGGCAGAACTATCTCTGCGGCCCAGTTCCGATGAGTCTCGTTGAGCGACTCGGCTCGGAACACTCAGTGGCATAATGAACTTTGACAGGCCATCGCATAGATGTGAGATGCAACCCAGCACCAGAGTGTAGATATAAGTGCTTGGGATTGCAGGAGGAGTGTTCTTCTCGGGTTGATCCATCAGACGAACAGCCACGACACTCCAATCGACGCTGATACCAGTAGTATTTGCGTCATTCGAGGTCACAGAGGTGATGGCACCACCCAAGCCCTGCGCCTCAATGGATGCAGCCTCTTCGCTCTTTGGGTCGGTTACACGCTGAACAGGAACAGTAGATTGGCGCCCAAGCCCAATCAACGATGGATCCTCCGCTGCGATACGGACTAATGCAGACATCAACTGGCCTATTAGTTTGACGGGGTCTTCTCCCTTGTCGAACAGACGAAAGGCTTCTCGGAACACGCTGAAGTCAGAGCACAGAGTACGAAAGAACTCGAGGAAAAGAGCTCGTTTCCATGGTGGGTTGCCGTCCTTCTCCAGGGCAGCCATAAGTAGAGGTGTCATCTCTGCCAGTTGATCTCGGAGGTCTGCAGCACGAGATTGAAACATTAGGAGCAAGATAGACAGAGCGCGCGCCGTCATACCGAATGCATCCTTTCTCACCAAGACACGCGACAGACCGTGCGCAAGGGTTTCCGGCCATGTCTGATCGCGGAGTCGGTCAGCTGTAAGGAGCGAATCGTAAGTTGACAGAATGGTCTGCAGAGTTTCAAGCAGAAAGCCAATGGGTAGACTTTCCACTTTTAGATATTGCGGTTTTTGGTGGTCAAGCAGCAGACAAAAGTCATCGAAGAGCCGAACTGCATCGTCCAGAGAGGCACCTCTTGAATCTGCAGCTGAGAAGTTCTCTCCATCGTCCCCACCTGACGGCCTAAGACTTTCTCCCTGCACAGCCTTTTCAAACACCGCCGAGACTAACTGTTGGAAAGTCGCTGCAGCTGTGTTGCTCACAGCGGCCGTCCGGCTGGATTGGAGAGACGCACATAGCTCTAGAACTGTCGCAAGGAGGTCTCCATGTATGTCATCGGCATAGAGCTGGAGCAGAGAAGGCAGAGTCTGGAGGATTTTGAGTTGAGGCTCATAGCCTGCAGCAGCCCCATCACGGAAGGCGGCTAGGAGATCAGGCAGCCTCGTCCGAGCAAGGGCATTGCTTGCAGTCAGCCTCTGGATGCAGGCAGTTCCGGTGGCTGCTAGCTTGGTACTTTTGGTTCTGCAAGCGAGAAGAAAGGGTTCAATGAAGAGAGGTCGCCGGCACAGGTCACCGGCCAGTTGAGATTCGGATGTCACCGAGATTGTTTTGAGGTCAGCGAGCGACTGCTCGGCGGCGACGCGAACGTCATTGTTTCGTCGCTTCGAGTCTGATATGAGGCTCGCCAACTCGGACTGAAGAAATGCATGTGTCATCCCTGCTTCGCCTCATCATGGGCGGAGAGAAGGGAGCGTCGTACTGCTTGGTGTTGGTGGTACAAGAGAAGCAGCGCAATGTGGTTCAAGGTGGCCTTTCCAAGGCGACCAATCAGAAGCCGCCAAGGCTCAGCCATCTCTTTTTAGGACAAATGTAATGCTGCTTTATCGATCCTACCACCCCCTGACAGCCTTGTCCCATCGAGGTCTCGTCTATGGCGAGGGACCAGAGCACAGTCTCGAGGAAGGGATACAACATGATTTAGTCAATTAGCTGGTGGAGGAGTGTCTCTCCTAGAATAAAATGCCAACCACACTGCAAATGTGAATGCCAAGTCTAGCTCCCGGTGTGAAGGGACATCGAGAGCATTGCAGGTCAGAACAAGACTACACAAAAGGTCAAGGGGCATAACCCGGCCCGTGGGAAGACCACGGAAGGGAGAAAGACCCTGGACTCAGTCATACGCATCAATGTGGTCTAGGCGGACCGAGATATGCGCCCTAGCTGCCGTTACAAGCCCACAAACCACCCAAACAAATCCAAACGCCACATAACCTACCGGAAGCCAGTAAGCCTTTGCATTGTCAACCGCCAGATGAGTATTGCGGTTCACTTCGATGATGTCGTTATCCGAGGCGAACAGGAGTTGACACCGGCAGCTCCGATAGACCCCAGCCAGCTGCAACATGGTGCCAATGGTTAGTACAGCTGCATTGGCATAGACAAAAAACCAGTAAAACATCTTCAGTCCTTCTGTCGCGTATTTATTTCCCTTGTTGCGAAGCATCCACTGATATGCGATGTGCAGGGCCGGAGCGACCAATGCAAGGATTCCATAGGCGAGGAAGTTGAATGATCGGCAGTCAAAGCCAACAGTTGGCGTGTTCTGTCGGCCACCAAGAGTCAGCATTGACGCACCCAGTGCTGACCATGCTCCCGTCTGGAACAATTGTGGTCTTGCAGATCAATCGAACTTACGTATGAGACAATAATAGCGCCCACCGACGGAATGGCCACGCAGAGCCAAGCAATCACATGGCCCACCAGCAGTTGGAAACTCTTCGCCAATGTGAGGGATGGGTATTTGACCAGATGCCGTCCTTCTGAGTTGTCGATCCTGTCCGCCATTAGGTTGAGTGACAAGGGCTCATTATCGTTTAAGTCGGATAACGTCTTCTCTGGATTGCTCTGAACACGAGCCAACCATTCATGCCACAGCAGTCCGTTGAAATAGCGCTCGCGCAGTGGAACACTTCGGTCGGAGAGCTGAAAATATCGGCCCAGCGTAGTCTTGGTCAAACCCGCATTCACGCTGCTGGCAAAGCAATTTGCAGCCACAGATAGAATCACCAACCACGAGTACCAAATCCCAAAAGCCAGGCCATTTGCAGTATCATTGTCGCCAAGTTTTGTGTAAGCGTCATAGAAGACCGATGCCGTCACCGCAAGGAAGAGGACCGTTGGCAAGAAGACGGCCTTGAAGAAGTCGGTACGAGCCTCGACGAGAGTCTTGATCGCGATCTCCACCAATGCTCGAACTTTAGGAGTATTATCCACTCCTTTGTCTGATTCTGGCGAGAACAACGTGTCAAGTTCAATGGTCTTCCTATTCGAGTCTTGACCCGAATCTCTTTCAGCTGTTTGTTCATCGTATTCATAGGGGCATTCGGTGTCGCCGACTAGGACGACCACCCATTTCAAGAGATTAACCGAAGAAAGTTCGCCCCAATTCGGCCTTCCCGCATCCAGACGCGAGTTGATTTCGCGCAGCATCGTTGCATCAGACCAAATCTCTGAGAACGCACCAAAGATAGCACTTGCTGGATCGCCGAGCAGATTAATCCATTCCTGGGTATATCTTCGAACGAATCGCCAGAGCCACCTCCAGACATCTCCGAACTTCATCGACGTTAGCCTTGCTTGCGACCCTGAGACTGAATCTTTAATGTCGCCAAAGGGACACAGCAAGAGAAGACCGATGTAAGGCACAACCCAGCTGGTCAGGGGCTGCAGCCATTGTGACAGGTCGCTTGGCTGATTGCCAGGACAGTGTGCTTTGCACCATCCCATCGTGATATTAATCGAAGGGAACGTGGTCCCTGGACGGTAAGTTTCGGTGTCATTCAGGCTGCAAACATTCCAAGGGTCCTCCTGCAAAAGGATCCGGAGCTCATGCGAACGGGCGGCCTTCATGCAACAGATGTTGCTGTCGTAGGCAGAGGTCGAAGCAACGATGAGGCTTAAGGAGAGCAGCATCGCAAGCCTGGTGGCTGTAGTCACTTCTGTTGGGGATGTCATACTGGGCGCTGAATTGCGAAGTTAGACATCGACGGTGTTCTTCAGCAGCATCTGTCCGGCCAACGTGCTGAGGTTGGCGATAGTGCAGACACTCCTTATACTCGTAGACGCAGAGTTTCGCCCACAATAAGGCTGAATCGGGCTCCTCGGAACACCACGGACAGGGTGGCTCGCCAGTTCTCGCTGGGAGCAAGACGCAGAGTCTCATGTTGGTGTGGTATGGTTGCTCGGGACACAGATTGGACTGGCAGAAACGGCTGGTCTCGCGTAAATGTGCTGGAAGCGACCACTAGGACCGGAGCGATGCAGCGCCCATGCTCCTTTGGGTGCGAGCTTCATCTGCAAGGACACAAATCCGGCACCTTGCATTGTACTTGGAGGGCATCTTTTCTCTGATGCGTTGCTGGCAGCATCTTATTTGCTCGACCGTTTACAAGACCTTCGGACTTCCAGCTTGAAGTCTGTCCAGTCACTTCTCGCAGACTGGAGCATGTCCGTGGCCGAGGCGATGTATTCGTGGTCCGCGCATTCTCAGCCTCATTGTCCCAAAGTCCCCACGCTGCGGTTCTTTTGCTTGTCCGAATACAGAGAACGATATGTTCAGCTGCGGTAGATTCCCTCGAGCTTCTTCACGTCTTTGCTCAATTCCCTCATTTCTGCACAACGCTTGGCAGAATGGAAATAGGCTGGAGGATATACGCGCTCTCCCTTGTTGTGCAGATCCTCTCACAGACCACGCATGCTGGCGCACATTTGTCGCAGCGTCAATCAACTAATACTACCCAGCAAATCGATGTCTCCAAACTGCCGCCTTGTCTGCTATCCACTTGCAGCTCCAATCCTCTCGGAAGCGCACCGGAAGACGCGTGCACGCCGATAAAACCTTCGACATTGTTATATGAGAAAAGTTGCTACTGCGCTCTCAAGGACCCGCTTTACTGCGCGTGGTCGTGCACTTGGTGGGAATGGATGGCCGTCGAGGACTGGTTCGTCCAGGAATGCGGTCCAGACTCTGACAACCTTTCGTACGATGGTCTGCCGGCCTGTGCGCAGAGTTGTCTACACCCAGCGCTTGTCTATTACGGCTGCGTCAGCGAGGGCCGCAACTGCTTCTGTCTTCATGGGAGCTTGTTCGATTGCCAGTCGAACTGCCACAAGGAGAGCGAGAGAACGGCCATCAAGAACTGGCTAGTAGAGCGCTGCGGTGTCAGTACTGCACTGGGCCAGAAAGGGGCCGACACCGGTGTGTTCTATGGCTCTGCGGAGGACGATTCCGAGTCGAGACAGTCACCTGTCCTTTTCCGGCCCAAACGAAAGGAGTTGAAGTGGTACGAGATCTTTGCGATTGTGCTGCTTTGCGCCTCCGTCCTGGTAGGAGTACTCATCTGGATTGATCTCCGTGTCCGGGAGAGAAAAAGATGCAAGCCAGCACGAGCCCGAGGCCAGGGTGGGATAGCTCATGCTCTGAGTGAGAATCCCCTTTCCCTCAGGCTGCGGGGGATGGGAAGATGGAAAGCTCTTCCGGGAGATGCAGAGGGGTGATCAACGGCAATCTTGACCCAGTCGTGGTCTTGATTTTGATAACATCTGGTCGGAAGATCTGTCCGAGATATCCTTTGCCAGGCCAGAAAGTCGATGGATAATGAAATAGTAGTGGACGGAAGAGGGGAGTTGAGCCGCTTTAACCAAGCTAATCATTTTGCTAGAGCCAGCGATATGGCATCGATAGTCCATCACCCTCAACCGTTTTTCTGATTCATTGTATATTTGACGGCCTGGTATCTACGTAGACTACTAGGGATGGTTGTGATTGAGTCTGTTGTCTCTATTGTCCCCAACAATATCGCCAAGCGTGCCAAGCCAACCACAGGCGAGATCACGTGCGCGCGTCGTCCCATGCCAAGGCTGAATGACCCAAGCGACGAGGCTGTGGCGCGTGCCCGCCTTCTCAAGTTTCTCCCCATTAAAGTCGCCCCTCCTAAGTTCTTGTATTCGTCTTTCCTTCCCACAAGTATTGATCCGCCGCAGAACGATTCACTTTGTGACAACACACGCTTTATCCGACCCGATTGCCATCTCAACATGGGTGCCAAAGTGCCGCGAAATTTTCGGCTCCTGGAAGAGTTGGAGAAGGGCGAGAAAGGCCTCGGTGCAGGTCTGCGACTACCTGTGAATGTTGCTTGCGGAATATTGTTTCTGACTCTCGTGCAGAGGCGTGCTCATATGGGTTGGCTGACAGTGATGACTTGATGATGACCAATTGGAACGGCACCATCCTTGGACCTCCTCACGTAAAGCGCCCATACCGCCGTTTCCACAGGGGGCAGATTGAGCTGACCCGTTTGCTATACAGAGCGTCCACGAGAATCGCATCTATAGCGTCAACATCCATTGCGGCGAGCAGTATCCTGACCTCCCACCTACCATCCAGTTCGTGTCGAGGGTGAATCTGCCATGTGTCGATCAAAAGACGGGGAAGGTGAGGATAAATACCATGAAAGGCACACTGTCAACTCTAACCCTTGCGGATAAGGTTGATCCATCGAAGCTGCCTTGCTTGGCGAACTGGAAACGAGACTACACCATGGAGACAATTTTGATCGAGCTTAGAAGGTACGTACGCCGGGCCATCCTGTCGAGCGCGAAAGGTTACTGATGTCCGCAGGTACATGGCTCTACCACAACATAAGAAACTTCCGCAACCCCAAGAAGGCACCACTTTCTAAGATTTGCAACATGGGCATGGTATCATGGAGTTGGACCTCTGAACGTATAGCGATGAATTACGAGTTCTTACGAAGGCATACTTGGCGTCGGGGATCGTTCATAGCACCATTCTAGCTGCAGGAGTGAGATGATAGAAAGGTATGCACAGTTAGCAGCTACCATTGGTCACTTGTATTTCCACTGTCTCCTTGGATGTCTGTAAGTACGGTGTTAGCAAGAGAATGTCGTCAGGCATCATGATAGATTCCGGTCGACTTCAGCCTCGTCATCGGCAAACCTGCCTAGGTGTCGTTGGCTGGCCGCTTGCGAGGCTGACCTGTATCTGTATTCTGTGTACCGAGAACAATTTCTTTCACTCCCAAATTTCATGTACTCTCTATGAATCCCACCTGAGATGTGCGGATGCCACGTATCCTTGCTCCGCACAAATCGGGGCTTCATCGACTAGCGTGTAGGTGCGACATCTGTGGTTTTGGCGGAGACTTCTAACAAGCAGGATGCAGGTCTGTCACTATACAAAGCTCTGCTCCGCGAGAGCACGCGGGTTGGGGCCGCAATCCAAAACAATGCCGTCGCTGGAACAATTCAGTCCTTGATCCGCTTCCGTTTCCATCAAGACCGCAAGCTGCTTTCCCCTTCACAGATCGCCAACGGTCTACAGGCCGGCCATGACGCCCTATCGCTCCTCCGCGCATGCGCCGCTAAATCGGGCAATGGCTTACACAAGCTGAGCCAAACCCTCGAGCATGTGGCTCAACAAGCCGAATCTATATCGAAACACCGCGCCGAACTCGCTTCGCGATGGAAACCGCCTCCACCCCAGCGGCGTGCCCATCTGGAGAACCTGCGCCGCGTCGCTGACAAGGCAAACCACCTTTCCACTCCTGACAACCCACGCATTTTTCAGCACCCGAGACCGATATCTGAATTGAGATCGGGTGTCCGCAAAGTGCCCAACCTGATGTTGACCCAGGGAATTCCCCTTCTGAAATATCCAGGCCCGACGCCGGTGCTGATGAATCGAGTGTTGAAGAATAAGCTGCAGTGGGGTGTTCGGAAGTGGGCACAGCACCTGGACCTCGCAGCAACGATTCAGGTCGCTGAATGGGAAGACGAGTGGGATGGCATCCTCGCCCGAGAGCAGGGCATTGCAGAGTCACCGGAGATTGTTACCACGAATGCTCAGCCAGAAAAGCAGGGAGAGGAGACGCAAATGGACCACAATCAACCCTCGTCGAGTGTCAGCATCCAGTTTGTCGGACTAAACCGCTACAACGTCAGAGAGAAGAGAGACCAAAACCGGCAACTCCCCTCTGACAGTCCCGCCGCTCCGAAGGTTTCGTGGACACTGGCGCTTCGCCAAGTTGACCGACAACTCGAGCAGGCCGTTCAGGCGCGTGGACGTCAGTATGCGGAGCTCGGGGACAAGTACTGGCAGGTGGTGGTGAAAGAGAGAGAGCTGAGGGAAAAGGAGAGGAGGGAGAGGAAACATGCCAGGAGGATGGCACGGAAAAAGGCGACAGATGTTTCCAAGACTGACGGAGACAACGAGCCTGTGAGCAGCGTCTCTTCTGGCTTCACATAGAGGGTCCATTCGCGAAGGAATATCTAGGGGCATTCCCCTCCCTCGCTAACTCTGACTCTGAATCTGAGTCGAGTGACTGGTTTACACGTCAACCATACATGTACCTCCATGGGTAGCAAGCCAGCCAGGATTGACTATAACACCAACCACAGTCATTCCCATGGCCCAAGGTCATAATCTAATAATTCTAAGTGACTGAACCCGAAACCAACAAAACAATACCCTAATCACTTGGAGTGACCCGTCTAGAACTCTCTAACCGTTCCAAGCTCTCGTCGACTCCCCAGCCGTGCTTCAGCAACTCGCCGACCTCCTCCAACCTCAGGCCCATCGTCTCCGGGTAAATCCACCACACGACCACCCAGCCCAGCGCACAGATGGCCGCGTAGGTGACGAATGTCCATTGCGCGCCTAGCAGATCCATCATAGGCAGGAAGGTCAGGCCGACGATGGTGTTGCAGAGCCAGTTCGTCGCAGTCGCCAGCGAGGAGCCCAGAGAGCGGACGGAGAGAGGGAAGAGCTCGGATTGTTGCCAGGGTACAGGGCCGAGACCCATCGCGTAGGTTGAGACGTAGAGGAGCATGGCCACCAGGATGGCTATGGCGGGGAGTTGGGGGACGGATTTTCCAGTAGAACTGTCCACAGTAGTTTCTATCCTATCGCCTGAATGCAAGGGGACAAATGTGAAGGCTCCAGCGCAGAGGAGAAGGGCCAGGACCATGATGGGAATGGTAAGCAGCAGAATCCGTCTCCGGCCCAATCGGTCAATCAGATGAAACGCCGCAATGGTAAACATAAAGTTCGTGCCGGCGACGCTAAGTGATGTCAAGGTCGGCGACTGGAACCCCAGGAGTTGGAAGATGGTAGCCGAGAAGTACATGAGGCTGTTGAATCCACACAGCTGCTGAAGGGCTTGCAATGTGCATGTAATTGTCAGTGCTCGGGCATGTGGAGGGTGGAGGAGAAGGGATTGCAGGGTTGGGGAGATTAGGAAGTTGGACTTTGACTGTGCTGAGTGACGGAGCTGGACGTGCGCCTCTTCTTCGTCAAGCAGCTCCTTTTTAATGGCGTGGATGGTCTCATTCACGATGTTGGTGGTGTTGCCTTCCATCCCATGGTAGACTCTCTTCAACACCGCACGAGCTTCGCTTTCCCTTTGCACTTTGGCCAGATAGCGAGGCGTCTCGGGCATGAATGCTAACATGACAAGTTGTGCAAGCGCGGGAGCAGAGCCCAAGCCGACCATCCACCTCCATCCGCCGCTCATGGTGGAAAATGCCCAACCGACCAAGTAGGCGATGACTTGTCCCCCAGTGATGAAGAGAAGAGATACCGTAACAAGTCTGCCTCTCAGGTGACTAGGTGCTAGTTCCGAGATATACAGAGGCACGATCAGACTGGCACCCCCAATGGCCAGTCCCACAATACTTCGGCCCAGTATCATCCCCCAAACGGACGTTGTGACGGCCTGCCATAAAGCGCCAAGTGTGAAAAGCGCATCAGCGAACAATATAATGTTTTTCCTCCCAACCCGGTCCGCCAGGACGCCCGCAATTGGACTCGCAATGAGCGCAAAGAGACTGGTGCATGAAGTTATGAGGCCCTTGTCCAAGGTGGTTAAATGGCGAGAGGACAGGTCGGTACCGATGGACACCAAGGTACTGCTTATAACTCCTGTGTCATAGCCAAAGAGCAGTCCGGACACGCAAGCAGAGACCGTCAAAGCCCATATGAAGGCATTTGCAGAGGATTGAGTGGTTGAGGAGGAGGATGCGTGTCCGTCGTCCCGCTCGCGGTCTGCGATGAGCGGGGCATCTGGAGATGTATCATCGTGTGTAGAGGGCATGTCTCGAAGTTCCACCTCTTCTATTTTCCCTTCTGTTCGATTGTCGAGCATGGAGTGTCATAATACCCGCATGGTGTGTTGTCCTACAATGGTCGCGTGCACGACTCGTGAGGGAGAATGAAAGGCTGCGGACGTTGAAGTTCCCGGCCACGCCCGGTTAGATCTGGAGACGAGTTTACCTAAGTTCTTAGTCATGCACCCAACTACGTCAGGTCTAGAACTTTGGATTTTCCATGCCGACCATCGGAGTTTCGCACCCCAAACAGCATCTCGCAATTAATAATTCAAAACACGATCAAGATAGTGGTTTTGACACTGTTCCCCAAGAAAGACTGAGGACAACTCATGTTCTGTAGGATCACTCTTCTGAAGCGGACACAGAGAGTGTATCCGCCTACTTCCAAAGCCAACCTCGTCACCCCTGTCGCGGTCGCCACCTTCTGGCAGCCATGAGCGCCATCCTCTCCGCAGACGATCTCAACGACTTCATTTCGCCTGGCGTCGCCTGCATTAAACCGGTCGAGACACTCCCGAGACAGGAGGACGATGGCAATCCTTACGAAGTGACCACCGAGGATAAGGTCCAGACCAAAAACCCGGCGCCTGCCTCGATCTCCCTCACTGATTGTCTCGCCTGCTCCGGTTGTGTTACGTCTGCAGAGGCCGTTCTCGTTTCGTTACAATCTCATACTGAAGTCCTGAATACACTCGATTCCTATCCCTCGCTAGATGTACAACATCTTATCGACAGGCAAAACGGGCTTGCAAATGGTCACAGATCTCCGCCTTCGAATGCGAAAATCTTCGTTGCCAGCGTGAGCCCGCAGGTTCGGGCTAGTCTGGCTGCGACATATGGTATCTCCGAACGAAGAGCCGGATTCATGATTGAACAGTTTCTTAGCGGATCACAGGGCTTGCGGATAGGTGGTCAGCACAATAGCCGATTTACATATGTGGTGGACACTAACCAGGCCCGGGAAGCGTGCCTGGTGTTAGGGGCTGAAGAGGTGGCAGACTCAATCACAGCAGGGTCGAAACCCAGGCCGATCCTGACTTCAGCTTGTCCGGGTTGGATTTGTTACGCGGAGAAGACACATCCTTATATCCTTCCGCATCTCTCAGCACTGAAATCTCCACAGGCGTTATCTGGAACACTGCTCAAGTCGGTTCTGAGCAAGACGCTGGACATCCATCCTTCACAGATATGGCATCTGGCAATAATGCCCTGCTTTGACAAGAAACTCGAGGCCAGCAGGGAAGAGCTAACGGATCGTTGGTGGCGATACTCAGAGTCTTCGGACCCATCCGTTCCTCCTATACGAGACGTTGATTGTGTGATCACCTCCCGCGAGCTCCTGTCCCTTGCCTCAGCTCGCGGTATTCAACTCTCCAGTCTTCCACGCAGACCGCTCTCATCCGCCGAACGCACTCCGTTCCCAGACCCACACATTTCTCACTTCCTCTTCCCAAAACAACGGCCACGGCTCCAACAAGAGCAAAGTGTGGCAGCCGGCTCTTCAGGCGGTTACCTTTATCACATCCTCCTAACCGAACAATCACGCCACCCGGGCTCCACTATTTCCGTCCAGCGTGGTCGTAACGCTGACGTGGTGGAATATTCCCTTGTTGACTCCTCAGGCCAAGTTCTTATGAAGTCCGCAAGATATTACGGTTTCCGAAACATTCAGAATCTCGTGCGGAAACTGAAACCTGCGAGGCAGAGCAAATTACCTGGCGCTGCGAGACGTATGAATCCAGCGGGTGGAAGCGGAGGTATCAGTGACTACGCTTATGTAGAAGTCATGGCTTGTCCTGGGGGATGTACGAACGGAGGCGGACAAATCAAGGTTGACGACGTGATGGAGACGTTGCCCCAGACACGGAGCGAAGATGTGGTCAATGTTGTCAGTGGCCCGCAGAGTCAGAAGGAGTGGTTGCGACTTGTGGATGAAGCCTACTACTCGGGTGATTCCTCCGAGGACATTGATACAGATGAGCAAGGAGAGGACGTGCCGATGACGAACGGTCTCAGCTGTCTGAACGGGCACGAGAAGACCAAACACACAATCATCAACGGAATCGACACTACCGAGGTCTACGACTTCCTTTATCAGTGGTCTCGGCTTGTGAACGTGCCGGTCTCCAAGCTAGCATATACGACATTCCGGCAAGTCGAGAGCGACGTTGGCAAGAACAAACCCGCGAGCAAGATGAGCGACACGGAGCGCATTGCGAGTATTGCCGGACTCAGTGGCGGCGGATGGTAGCTCGGTTTCAAACGAGATGACTACGAACTAGATGTTCCCCTCATGGAAGTTCACCAATGCGCGGTTGACGAGACGAAAGACGACGAAGAGATAGATTTTGGTTTTGATACCCGGCTGTGTAGGCTCTGGGATATAGATATTTGTACATGATGCGACGCGGAATGATCTATGTGGCATATGCAGACCGTGATCTTCCATTTTGAGCGGAGTTTCGTGGAGTTTCGTTTCCCCTTGGGTGTTGTATTCCCTTATCCCTGGCGCTTTGCTGCCATCGGTTTCTCTTCGATGGATTGATGACCCTAATACTGACCTTCAGTCCCAATCCCAATATATGCACCTAGCTTGCAGGAGAGTTGACAAAGCCTCGTCCTTGCACAGGCTTGACCTCTAGCCTAAGGTCTCCGACCGTCTAACCTCAGCCCATTTGCGCTCTGTCCGTCAACTTTATACCATCTGCTAGTCCGATAGAGCGACCACACATGTTCCAGGCGTACAGTCTTCAGTGGCTTGAAGACAAATCCTCACTCTGACTGGTAATGGCGGCCGGTCGGGTTTCCCCTCGGTTCGCACCAGGTATATACGAGGTGGTTGTCGGCGTCTGCAAAGCAAGAGCCCAATTACCCTATTCGTTTACTTCCCAGATTTGTTTCACGACCGGACCGGAGATATTCGAACGCTGATTTTATCGCTTTCCTTCCCTCCAGGAATTGACTGCTTCTTCCCAAGACCCTTCCTCAACACCTTCGCACCGTTCCTGCACGATGCTCCACGTCCTTGTCCTCACGATCTTCTCCACCGCATTCTCGTTCCGCAGAACATCCGCTAGCATCTCCGCCCTTGACTCTCTGGGGAAGAACCGTCCGGAGTAGGGATCCAGCCGCTCGTTCACGATCCGCTCGGCGTCTCGCCTGTTCAGCGCCTCCCGCTCAATGAGATCTGGGTCATTCGGGTCCGGACTCGTCGCCACGCTCGTGCAGTAAGATATCACATCCGACCTCACATTCCACGAGGGGAACAGGACGGAGTGCAGAAAGGTGCGACTGGTTTCTCGAGGTATGGGTGCTCTCGTGAGCGAGGACGGCAGTGATGGGTTTCGGATCGATGTCGAAGTCGGGTCGAAAGGCGAGGTGGTCGCCGGGGTGATTAATGCGTTCAAATTCGTCGAGATGCTGTCATCGATGCTCGCGCGTGACAGGCGGAGAAAGTCCCGCAGGACACGGGTGTTGAAGCAGAACTGCGGCGTAAGGCTTATGGGTGGCGCCGTGGGTTTGGACATTATCAGCGGTCGTGAGTTGGACTGTGCCGGAGCTCCAGTCCCCGATAAAGGAGCTTGGTCAGAGACGGTAGACGGTGGGATGGGTCGTCGAGAGGGAGGAAGACTAGGAGCAGCTCTCTGAAAATGAGGTTGCAAGGTGGATGTGGGAGACTGCGAGGTTGTCTCCGAAGCAGACGATGTCCAGAACCACGCCAGCTTGACTGATTAACAGATGAGGAGATGGGATGCAAATGAAACAAACATCTAACAGGGCGTAGTCTTTGGCTAGTCACCGACGCAGGAGGAGACAGCCTTGACTATTCGAAGAAGTATCCAAGTATGTACTACTTATGAATCACTGTACTCGGTACAGTACCAGAGCAACATGCGGAGCGGAGACGAACGAGGCTGCACTTTTCCACCTCCACGTCCGCCTCCACCATCGGCAGATTCATTATGTCATCGTCGCTTCTGCCATAGAAACGTGGAAAACCACTAAACGCGTCGGCTGGTTCGTATTCAAATACGCGTTTCAGGCCTCCGGCTTGAACACAATTATTGCGCCTGGCGTTTCAGCGGACGACGCAGCCTGAGCTTCACTTTCAGCCTGCTATCCGGGTATTGACCTCAAGACTGCGTCCGATCTCTCTCTCTACCTTTCGGTCTCACATATCTGCGACTGGATCGAGCAAGGTTTGGGTCGATTGGCCAGTTCAATAGCAACACCACAAAGACCCAAAGACATCCATCCTCCCGACTCCACTGCGCCTTTAAAGAAGAGGTTTCTTCCACTCAGAATATCCTCTTCGAGGTCAAAGGCCAAGTTGGCCCAACATGCCTGAGATCGCAGAAGTCGCGCGCATAGTACATTACATCCGGAAACTGCTGGTCGGCAAGACAATCGCCAAAGCCACCGCCACCGACGATGCCAACGTCTACGGCAAGGTGGGCACGTCGGCCGCCGAGTTCGAGACACACATGGCTGGGAAAAAGATTGTCGATGCCGGACAGCAGGGCAAATACTTCTGGATGATCATGTCGAGTCCCCCGCACCCGGTAATGCATTTCGGGATGACGGGGTGGTTGAAATTCAAGTCCGAACACACCTACTACTACCAGCCGCAAGAGGGCAAGAAGGACGAAACCTGGCCTCCAAAGTTTGTCAAGTTCATGCTCGAGACCAAGGCCGAGGATGGAGAAGAGGCCATCGAGGCAGCTTTTGTGGATATGAGGAGACTCGCCCGCGTGAGGCTCGTCGACTGTCCTGCTGCCGAGATACGAAATAACTCGCCGTTGGTCGAGAACGGACCGGACCCGGTCATCGACAAAGACATCGTCACCGTTGAGTGGCTCAAGAAAAAGTGCAGATCCAAAAAGTGCCCCATCAAGGCCATGCTGCTGGATCAGGCCAACATCAGTGGCATCGGCAACTGGGTCGGCGATGAGATCATGTACAATGCAAAGATCCACCCTGAGCAATATGCGAATACTTTGAGTGATGAACAGATTGCACAGCTCCACAAATCGATCCATTACATCTGCAGCACCTCGGTGGAGCTTCTCGCTGACTCTGAGAAGTTCCCCGAGGACTGGCTGTTCAAGCACCGATGGGGTAAAGGCAAAAAGGGCGCCTCACATACTTTGCCCAATGGCGAAAAGATCGCATTTCTTACAGTGGGCGGACGGACCAGTGCCGTGGTGCCGTCAATACAGAAGAAGACGGGACCTGTCGCGAAAGAGATGAGTGAAGCTGAGGGTCTCGACGATGAGGATGGAGACCCACCGAAGAAGTCCAAGGGTACAAAGCGCAAGGTCGCCAAAGAACACGATGATGACGAAGTCGAACCCAAGAAATCCAAGGGGCAGAAACGCAAGGCTCTTGTGAAGATGGAGGAAGACGACGACGACGACAACGACGATGAAGACGAGGAAGAGGAAGAGGAAGTGATGCCGAAGAAAACGACTGCCAGGGGAAAGAAGGTTCAAGCAAACCAAGAACCCCACCAGGAAGAGACAAAGCCTGTAGTCAACGGAGCTGTTAAACCGACGACGAAGGCAAAAGCGGCCAGCAAAGGCTCAGCAAACAAGGCAGAGGTCAAGTCAGTCAAACCAAAACCAGAGAAGGCCTTGATTTCCCGCGTAAAGGAAACGAAGCCCCCCGTCTCAGGAGTTGCGTCTGATGACACAGGAAGAAGACGGTCAGGTCGATTAAGCCGGTCTTGATATCCCTTTAGCGGGATACCGAGCGAAGGAAAAGGACGAATGCTCTTTTTCAAGTTCTATTCCTCTGCTATCACCCTGTATACTGTCTATACTGGCTCGTAGTATCTCGCGCGGAGCGACTTTTGTATAGACCCCAAGTCTCATGATCCCCCCAAAAGACAGAAACACCCCCATTTCCAAACTAAACAAACCCGTCTTTCCTCATATACTCGTCGCCCAACGCCGTCCCTAGTCCGATGCCCATTCGAGTCATTTGCTCGTCTGCATCATCGCAAACACCTAATAGTAGAAAACTTTCACCCAAGAGACACCGATAAACAACCACCATAGTACCATACACCACAACCACAGCACCACCCTACGAGCTTTGAGCAGGGCCCTCGCTCGACTGAAGCGTGGCGGACCCAGTGTCCGAAGAAGCCGAAGACTTCTTCCTGCTGGAAGTGACCTTCTCGACGATCCTGACGACAAAGTTGTCCTTGGTGGTCGACTCTCGCCGGAGCCCGGTCTCCTCGTCGCCAGCGGCGCCAGCGGCGCCAGTCATGCCGACTGGATTGACGGCGTCGGGGCCGATCTCGGCCTGGTCCAGAGCCCTCTTGAACGAGGGGATCAAGTTCGTGGCGACCGGGTAGCTGAATACGAGCAAGAAGCACGAGGCCGTCAACCACCAGGCGCGCGAGATGCGCACGGACTCGACGAGCTGGCCCATCAGCGCGGGCTGCAGTGCGCCGCCGGAGATGCTGACAATCATCAGCGTCTCGCAGGTGGGCGTCCACTCCTCGAAGCTGGCTGTCGCGCTCTCAAAGATCATGGGGAAGGACGGCGCCTCGAAGAACATGACCATGATAGCCACCGCGATGGCGGCGTTAGCGGTGATTCCTGTCCCAGCGGCGGTTGTTGCGACTGCACCGGCCATAAAACACATCAACACATACCGGGGCTTGAAGATCCTGGGCGCAGTGACGAGTCCTGCGGCGGCGAAGCGACCGATAACGAATGCGGTCTGCGCAAGCGACATGTAGTAAGCTGCCCATCTGTCGCTGGCGCAGGCGTTGACCTTCATGTGCTCGATGAAAAACTGTGCAAAGGTCACCTGGCAGCCAAGGTTGACAAAGTTTGCTGCCACACCCCACCAGATCCGAGCGAACCGTCTGGAGACGAGAGGATGTTTCCACTTCTTCCAACCACAGTCGACAGGCGCCGAGACGGGAACTTCGACCTCGGGGAACCAGTTAGTGCGGAAGAAGAGGATCGCCACGAAGATTGTCAGGGCGAAGACGCAGGCACCTAGGGCACGGTAGAAGGTGATGACGCTGCCCAGGTTGGCGCAGGAGGCGCTCTGCATAGTGGGCATCTGGCATCTACCAGGGCGAAGAGGGTCTGGAGCTGGACGTGCTGTAGAGGTGTCGGGGTTGAAGACGAATGCATTGGCCAGGAATGGAGCGACAACGGTGCCGATCCCAGCCCAAGCTTGTGCCATCAAGATTCGCAAGGCAGCTTGCCTGCGAGGTCCACAGTTGACGGCGTATGGGTTTGCCGAACGTTCCAAAGTTGAAACTCCCAAACCGATAACAAAATGTGCTGCTACCATGCCTGCAAGACTGCAGTGGCTCGCGCCAATAGACATGAACTCGTTGCCCAGGGCGAGAACGCATAGGCCCAGGGTCATGGCGATTCGATAGCCACCTTTCTTGACTAGGGGCCCACCGATTAAAAGAGCGCCGGGGATGTAGGCGCTATAGTACCCAGCAGCCAAGATGGCGGCCTTCTGGCGGCCTATGCCCATGGCTACTTTGACGTGGTAGTTCATGATGTCGAGCAGGCCATAGGCGAGGCCCCACATGAAGAAGATGAAGATGGAGGTGAGGGCGATGGGCAGGATAGTGTCTCGTCCCCGGATCTCCTTAGCTGGTTTGTTGTATTGGACATCGAGTCGCTTGATGCGCTCGAGGACAGGACCGAAGTTAGCCATTTTGGAGCAGAGATGTTGACGAGAAGCTGAGAAAGATCAAGGGTTCCCAGAGGACAAAATCTTCGAGATTGGAGGAGACTGTTCGAGGTACAGATCCCTGAGGAGTACACAGAGTATGTTTGCAACATATAAAGAGGTGGCAGATGGTTGAAAGAAATTCCGTTCTCAATGTAGGATGAGAAGACAGGGTAGATAGAGGTTGTACAGGAAAGACGAGAAAGGGCTTATTCTTATACCTGGGAGTGCACAGTGTGCGCAGAGGACCTCCCTCAGGACCTACCTCTTCCAAAATCTTCGTGCTTAGCTGCACAAGACAGACTCATACCATGTATTTTGAACCATCTGGTTATCCATTCAGGATGCAAAGGCCGTCCCAGCACCATATGAAGCCAGCTCTTAGTTTTCCTGGTCTTGTATTTTCAGGCTTAAGTGATGAGCAGACTAACAAATAGTCATCCCGCATCCACATGGATAGTTCTGCAGGATCACCTAAGCGGAGATATGGTTTTTCATGCCTCGTCTGCTCCATGAGAAACAAGGTCGGTCCCATGTTGGCCTCTCCAGGCGGAGGTGAGCGCGACTCCCTGTGGAGGATAGCCGGGGTAACACCGGGTGGTTCAAACAAATATAGAGCACATTCTCAAACTCTCTTGCCTGGTCTGTCCAGCCTCAAGCTTTAGAAGGTGGTAAACATTTGGAAATGTGGTGGTAGTGCTGGTAGTGGAGGGGAGAAGGTTTTGTTGGTCGTTGGTCGTTGGAGCGGAAAAACATTTCGGAGCATTCGCAGAGGCTTGGCACGGCCTTGGCAGGAAATCGATGGTCGGGATTTGCTGAACCGATCATCTCCATCGCTTTAACATTTGCATTCTGGAGCCTCTTCATTCGTGCATCCATATGTCCTGCTTTGGCCGCTCGACCCTCTTATGAATAGTCTTCGACTCGGCCAGCAAGCCTCAACAATTTTGACAATATTATCCAGAGCTAACTTTTCGAGATTCCTAAAGCCACAGACAGTCAGGCACTTGAACATTATGCCATCTACGAAGGAGTCCAGTCCTGGCATCAAGGTGTTGATGCTTCATGGTTATACTCAGAATGGAAATCTGTTCCACGCAAAAACAAGAGCAATAGAAAAGCATCTACAGAAGGCATTCCCGGGGATTTCGTTAAGCTACCCAACAGGTCCTCTGCGGCTCAGGCCAAGCGACGTCCCGGGGTTTGACCTGAGTTCGACTGAAGATCCGGACAGCATCGAAGCTTACGGCTGGTGGCGGCGGTCAGATACGTCCGATCCACCTGAATATGTCGGCCTCGAGGAAGGGCTGGAGACAGTCGCCAAAGTTCTTGAGTCAGAGGGACCTTTCGATGGCGTCATTGGATTCTCGCAAGGAGCATGTCTAGCCGCCATGGTTGCTTCCCTACTGGAAGGAGAGTCGAGGAAAGAGGCATTCAAAAAGGCACGAGCAAGATCCCCGCTGGCCATTCCATATCCATCATCCTTTGAGAAACTCAGTCACCCGCCACTCAAATTTTGTGCAGCATACTGTGGCTTTAGGGCTCCCGGTGAGAGATACCGCGGATTTTACGAGGATCCCCATATTCAGACCCCAGTATGTCATGTCATCGGGAGTCTTGACAGCGTGGTCGAAGAGTCAAGAACACAGGCGCTGGTCGAAGCAACTGGAGGCGCAGAGAAGACACAAGTCGTGACACACCCTGGAGGGCACTTTGTACCGAGCGGAAAGCAATATCTAGACATGATTGCAGGGTTTATCAAACACAACATGTCGTCGCAGGGAAAGGCGGGAGGGACAGAGGAGGGGGTAGAGGACATGGATGTGCCGTTCTGAGGCTTTTCGGTGCAATTTGGGGCCGTGAACACCGCGTGTGACACCACATACAAGCGATAGATTCGTCTAGAAGTAGATACAATGTGCTATTATAGAGCTGCCTAGGCTGTTTCGATGACTCTAGCCGTGAGTCAAAGACCAAAGTAGAGACAGACACGTGATTGGCTGGGAATGGTAGAGACGATGCCGGTGTGGAGTTTTTGGCTTAGCGGTCTTGGCAGTTGGCCGCACAACCACGACTCCTCAAAGTCGATTTCTACCACCACACTCGTCCTTCGCAGTACATCAATTGATCCATCGCCTCTTCGTCGCAACCCTCGACCTTCGGAAGACAGCTCAGGATCGAACAGAGTCTTCATTTCACCTCCACAAACCAAACAAAATGGTATGTACTCCTGCGCAAACTGATGCAACAAATCGAAGGGACTCAAAATTTGTCCTCCCGCATTATCAAGCACACGAGCACTACAAACCCAACCACCACCAACGCAACCATCTTTATCTTGACCAAGCGCTGACATCTTCGACTACAGGTTCTCGCGGTCGATCTCCTAAACCCAACGCCTCAGGCTGAGGCCCGCAAGCACAAGCTCAAGGTACGATTTGGATTCCTGCAGTCTCTGGGGCCAAAGTCATCGAAAAATCTAACAACTACACTAGACTCTCGTCCCAGCACCCCGATCATTCTTCATGGACGTCAAGTGCCCTGGCTGCTTCACGATCACCACCGTCTTCTCCCACGCCCAGACCGTCGTCATCTGCGCGGGCTGCTCAACTGTGCTTTGCCAACCCACCGGTGGCAAAGCCCGCCTCACAGAGGGCTGCTCTTTCCGAAGAAAGTAAATGCACAACGAACCAAAACGGGATGAAAACGGGACGGCATTGAGAATTTTTGCTCGATAGAAGATGGATTCCGCAGGAGCTATGCCATCACGACAGGGAGTTTCCGGATATCTTGCAAAAAAGAAGACTTTATGAGAGCATGGCGGACAAATCATTTCCTTCTTTTGCGCAATGAAACCGGCGTCAAATTCTTTTCCAAGTTACGAATGGGGAATACCCTTCGCGAAAAAAAGTCTTTCTTGCATGGGATGACCGGGCATGAGGCATCCGGATTCTGCGTGAACATACACTTTACTGTTGTATTGTGAGGAGGGCAGGGTTCCGATGTTGAGGAAAGCCTATGACCTTGCATTAGGCTAACCCCAAAGTCATGGTGGTTGGAACGTGGATAGTATGTACTCGTAGTACAGAAGGCGAAACAATAAAATCTTCGAAAAGCATCTTGATTCCTCGTCGCTATTTGCGTTTCGTTTTGCCTCTGAGCCCTGTCTCGATTCCTTCTGCACTTGGTCCACAGTCGCCCACATGTTCCTCGGAAGTGTGCATATTCTTGAATCTCCTGTAGATTTCCCGCTCATTGTATGTCCTGGCCGTAAGTCGCATCGATGTGACGAACCACAGGCGCCTGTCCTCCGCTTGTTGGTAGAGGTGCCACTGAAGGCGGCGCAGGTTGCGACTTGCTAGCATGACTGGCTCATTCCTCTGCGGCCGCTTTGAGCAGATCAATCTCTGCTAGGGTGCATTCTCACCCTTTCGTATCGCCTAGAGAGCAGTCCCTTCCTTGGACAGAAGTCTCCTTTCATTACCAGGCGAGGGTATAAGGTCACCCACGCTCCAGCTCCGCTATGATCCTGTTCGCCAGCTTCTTCTGTTCCCTCTCGTTCAACTCGTTCTCATCCATCTCTCTGAGGCATCGCCCCACTGCACAGATTCCCTTCACGCCGGCTTCAGGACAATCGACCCATACTTTCCCGTTTTTGCCAACGGCAATCTCAAACCCGCCGGGCAGTTTCGACCCCAACTCCTCCAGCGCCACGACGCCTTGTTTCTTGAGAAGTCTGTCAGAGAGACCAGGACTGACATCGAAAACCATTCCACCGGTAAGCGGACCCAGACCGTCAGGTTCTGCCTTGCCTGTGGATGGATTCACGCAACTTAATTCGATCTCCATGTTCTTCTGTGCAGAGACAACTTTGGCGTAGACGAGGTCGTTCGTCTTGAGCTGAGGTCTCGTCTTCTTGGTAGCGCCCTCAAATGCCAACTGTGGCAAGAAGGCCTGAGGAGAGTAAGGGTTGATGTAGACGTGGAAAAAGTCTGCGGTTGAGACTCGTACTTGGGCAATCACGAGGTCTCCTGCTTTTGGGACATAGCGAGCGTCTGGCGTGGATATCTGTGCCGCCTTCTTACGGTAGTCGATGTCCAAGTATCCTCCAATGGTGGCGAGGAAGTTATTCTGTTCGTCTTGTTGGAGTCCACGCCCAATTTTGCGCTTCTGAGATGTTGGGATCTGATCGGAGGGGATCAAGTCCCCAGGCAGGAATACTGGCATGATAGATTCGACAGACATGACTCGTCCACACTGTCTAAAATTTTTAACGTCAAAGAAAACCCCCCTGTAGTTCTTCACGGATGAGTTGGCAGAGACAAGGCTGCGGAAAAAAGTGGCTCAGATATGACGAGGCTGAGGGACGCACTCGCTTAACCTTCCTTGAGCCGTGAATATCCGCCGCGAGGCTCAAAAAAAAGTTTCCCATGGCATTTTTGTCGGTCCAAGGTGCGCAACCATATTGTTGGTTTCACAGGGCTACGAGTCTTTTTGATATACCCGTGGGCACAGAACCTCCTCTACAAATACCCAAGCCTCTCCCTTGAATATCCAGTCCACTGAGCCACGCCATGAGTGACGACACGAACGGGGTTCCGGCCCAAGGGTCGCCCGAGCATTATGCCATTGGTATCTCGTTTGGGAATTCGTACAGCTCGATTGCACATATCTCGGGCGAGGGCAAAGTCGAGGTCATAGCAAACGAAGAAGGAGATCGACAAATCCCGTCCATCCTGTCTTACATCGAGGGAGAAGAGTTTCATGGCACGCAGGCAAAGGCGCAGTTGGTGCGGAACAGCAAGAACACGGTCGCATTCTTCAGGGACTTTATCGGCAAGGACTACAAGTCCATCGACCCGACGCCTTGCCATGCCTCCGCACATCCCATCGAAGAAAAGGGCGAGATTTGTTTTGCCATTCGGGACACCGCGGACAGCGAAACTGAGAACAAGGTTTCGGTTTTGGAGATTGCTGCGCGGCATTTGCGGCGTCTGAAGAACTCGGCGTCCGACTTTACTGGCAGGGTTATAACGTCGGCTGTGGTCGCTGTGCCCACTGACACGAGCGACGACCAAAAAGCCGCCTTGACCAAAGCCGCCGCAAACATCCAGGTGGAAATCCTCCAGTTCATGCCAGAACCCATCGCAGCCCTCCTTGCCTACGAATCGCGGTCTCCAGATGCCAACGCCGATAAGATCGTGCTTGTGGCAGACTTTGGAGGGAACCGATCCGATGTCGCCGTTGTGGCATCAAGAGGAGGCATGTACAGCATCCTGGCCACTGCACACGATTACGAACTGGGCGGCACTCAACTCGACCAGGTTCTGATTGACCATTTCGCCAAGGAGTTCGAGAAAAAGCACAAGTCCGACCCACGCAAGAACGAGCGGAGCCTGGCCAAATTGAAGCTGGAAGCTGAGGCGGTCAAAAAGGCTCTGAGCCAGAGCAACAGCGCCACTTTTAGCGTCGAGAGCCTGGCCGAGGGCGTGGACTTTAGGTCTACGGTTAACAGAAGTCGGTACGAGATTCTGGCTTTGAAGACATTTGGACGGTTTACCCGACTTGTGGAGGAAGTGATCAAGAAGGCTGGCTTCGACGTGTTGGACATTGACGAGGTTATCCTGTCTGGCGGCACATCACACACCCCCAAGATTGCGAAGAACATCGAAGCGCTGTTCCCGGAGTCAACCATGGTTCTGGCTCCAGCCACGACACCCACAGCGCTCAATCCTTCAGAATTGTCAGCAAGAGGAGCCGCTCTACAAGCTTCTCTGATCCAGGAGTTTGAGAAAGAGGATATTGACCAATCAACGCACGAGATGGTTACCGTCACGCCTCACCTGTCCGCGGCCATCGGCTATCAAGTAACAGGCCAGCCTGAAGATGTGCTCAATGTGATCATCCCACCCGACACGGCCGTCCCCGCTCGAAGGACCAAGGTCATCGAAGGTCTCGAGGGTGATGTGGTCTTCCGAATCAGCGAGGGTGAACGTGAGATCACAGTCACCCACCCAGAAGCCCCAGCGAAGCCTGAAACCAACGGCACGAAAGCAAATGACGGAGACGATGACGATGATGACGACGACGACGACGAAGACGTTGATGACGAGCCAGAAGAGATCCGCGAGAAGGTGTGGCGGCCCAAGAACCCCTTGGCCGAGTTTGTCTTCCGGGGCCTGAAGAAAGGATCCAAAGTAGAAGTCATGGTCAACGTGGACGCAGAACTGGCCCTATCGATTGCCGCTCGAGAAATAGGTGGCAAGGGAGGGATCCGAGGCGAGATCAAGGCGTCTGAGACCACCCATCAGAACGGGAGCGCGTAAAGAAAGACTTTTTGGGAGGTTAGGGAGGGGGGAGGAGGAGGCACTATCAACCTCCAGTCCTCTCTCTCTCTCTTGTTCCTTCTTGTTTCTCACGGCACTGTACGTATTGAATATGGCATGGCACCGGCGTGGATTGGGATTTATACGTCCTTCCTTTTGTGTATGTGCATGGGAGGGTGTGTGCGTGTGGTGGCTCGCTTGCTTGCTAGTTGGTCAGTTGACGATGGTTGTCTAGCTGCTTGGTTTGCTTGCACTATGGCTGCTGATACTGCTTCTGCTTCTGGCGATCATGTGGTGGCTGTGGTTGTGCTGGTGGTGTTGGATATCGGCATTCTTGCCACGAAAACGCAAACGCAAACGCAAACGCAAGCAGGTATCGCGATGTACATAGCAGCAACGGCGGCGACGGCAGCAGCAGTAGTAGTATCAGCAGCCCGCGTCCCATTCTCATCCTCAACCCACCCGCACCATCCAAAAGAAAGGACAAAAAAAGGACTGCAGGTGCTAAGTGACTGATTGATTGACGAGATAGAACACAAAGAAAGCGCGTTTTATTTTTTGCTTGGGGACTATATATTTCCATTGAAACTCACCTGTAATGGACGGTGAATCATAAAAGACACAAGACTGGAAACACCAAATCACATTATTAAAAAAACACGAAACTGAGAAACTGAGAATACTTTGAATACTTTGAATAGCCGGAACGTATCTTGCTTGCTTGCCTGCCTGTTATGTGGTATAGGATCGAGTACAATGAGATAAGTATCATATCATAAAGACGCGCTTACTTTTCCCCAAAATGACCAATTTCTCCCCAAGAGACCATTGACCATGTTGGTATTACCGCGAATTAAGCGCTCCTATTGCTCCTCGTCCCTCCTCTCCTCCGACATTCTCTCTTCTCGACTCTTCCGCTCCGCAAACAGCGCCAGCAATCCCAGATCGTAAGTCGCCTTCAAAGACCCGGCCGCGACAAAGGCGACCCAGAAATGGTTCTTGGTGCCGAGGACGCCGGTTATAACGGGGCCCATGCTCTGCGCGCACGTCTTGACGACGTTAATGGTGCCCATGACGGCGGTGCGTTCGTGGGGGAGGACAATCGCCGCGAGGAAGGCGGATCGCGGCGCCACGTCCATGACTTGTGTGCATGCACGACCAATGAGAAAAACGAGAGCTCCTGGCAGCGTGGACGGGATGGGGATCAGGGCGAGACAGATGGCCGAGGGCAGGTGAGTAAAGACCATGGTCTAATGCACACATCGTGTCAGCGCCGTCACTTTCTAACAAGCTGATCTCGGTGTCTTACCTTGACGTTCCCAATCCGTTTCGAGATGGAGGATGCCACAAGC